GTTGCAAGGGGGGAGAGGGGGGAGAGGGGGGGGGGGGGGGGAGGGGAGACAGGGGCGACAGGGCAAGGGAGGGAGGGAGGGCGGGGGAGCACCCGCACACCACTCACACACTCACACTCACACACACACTCTCTCTCTCTCTCTCGTTGGTACCTCCGCTGCATCAATATCGACACTCTTCTGGCTTGGACAGCACCTCCGCGAGATCATCGAGATCAAGCCGCCCGGTGATGTGGAGACGCTGTCGCTCACCCACCTCGGGACGCTCTATGTCATCGATGAGGCAAAGAAGGGCTACTTTGAGCTTGTCGACCTCATCAAGTTTGCTGATCTCTGCGCTGTCAAAGAGTCTGAGTACTTGCAGAACGAGTTCTCCACCATGATGCAGAGCTACTGTACGCTCACGCTGTGGGAGGATGTGACGACTCCGCAGGGCCAGGACGGATTTGTCGATTGGTTCATCTCGCTCTTTGCATCAGACACCGACGTTGCGGTCGACGGTGGAAACGGCGTGGTCCACATCATGCCCGACGGCGTCCTCACCCTCCACGGCATCCTCAACGTCGAGAAGGGCTACGGCCTGCCGCTCGACGAGTTCATCTCGCTCATGCGCAACGCCGCAGGCGTCGAGACCGTGCTGGATGAGGCCCTGCTCAATGCCGTCCCGCTCCCCACCCTCGCCCGCTTTGCCACATGCTTCATTCGTGGCTTTGCCTCCATGATGGAAGGCCTTGGCTTTGACCCGTCCGAGACCTACCGCCGCACCCCGCCGAGTGCCTCTTGACTCGTTTCGTTGCACGAGTGGGAGGGGCTGCCGCCTCACGATTGGCCCTGCGTCGACGTGCTGAGCGTGCTCGACGAGTACGAAGACGACAACGAGGAGACCGAGATAACCTCGGCGTCATCGCATTCCTCGCTTCCTGGCACTCTGCCTGCATCGTGCCCGCTCTCGGCCAGGAACGACCGGACGAGCGGCAGGCCGCCGGCGGCACGCCTACTCCCGGCCTGCGTCTCGGCGAGGAACGACCGCAGATCGCGCACAAGCTCAGTGTGGACTGCTGACGACGAGGCCAGTGCTGCCATTTTGGCCTCGTACGCGTTCACAATGCCCTGCATGGCCGCCAGCTGGGCACTGCTCCGCGCAACCTCGGCTTGGCTGCTCTCGGCCGCCGTCGCCAATGCCTCCCGTGCCGCCGCCAGCCCGTCGCGCTCGGTATAGAGCGCGCCAACCAGCGCATCCAGCTCTCGCAGCTGCCCCTCGTAGTCGGCCAGTAAAGCACCCTGATCCGAGATCCGATGCTGTGCCCGCGCCAGGGCTTCCTGCAGGTGCGCCGCCGTTTCGTCGGCCCGTGCCAGCTTGCCCAGCATCTCGGTCTCACCCGTTGCCGCCGCTGCCGCTGCCGCCCGTGCTCTGTCGAGCTCCGACTGCAGTGCCTCGATCCGTGTGCCCAGCCTAGCCTCGGCAAACGCGCCCAGCGAATGCGATCGCCGCACGTCGCTCTCAAAGTCGCCCAGCCGGGACTCGGCGGCCAGCGCCCGCTCGCGCCAACGGACAGCCTCGGCCTCGGCCGCCGCCCGGGCCGCCTGCTCCGCCGAGAGTCTGCGCTTGAGCGAGTCCGCCAGTGCATCCATCGACTCTATGCCCAGTCTCTCGCTCGCCGAGCCTCTCCGCCGCCGCTTCGATCCGGCCGATGCCGCCGTTGCACTCGAGGCAGCCGCCGGCACGCGGTCGGACCGTTGGACGGGCGAGCTGGCAAACGAGGGCGAGTGGTGGCGAAAGGCACGGAGGCCGAGGGCAGGCCGGAGGGAGCAGGCCGAGAGCGACGGCTGCCGCTGACCCATCGCTTCGCTCTCATCCATTCTCATTAGCGTAGGCGATGGCGGCCGCGAATGCCTACCCGGCATGACTGGCGTCGAATGTCGGTGCCTCTCACCATCGCCGTCGTCTTGTCAACCCAAAACGGCCAATGCTCAAACTGGCAACGGCTAGTGGCACCGGCACCGGCCGATGCCAACAGCAGCCTCGCCAGGCGCGCCCATCACCCTCCCCTCCGCTCCCAACCTCCCTCCCTCCCTTCCTCCCTCCCTCTACCTTTCTGCTGTGCTGCTGCTGCGACTAGGCCGCGTTTGTTGGGGTTTTGGCGGTGGTCGTGAGCGGGGACAGAGCCCAGACAAGCTTAGAACTGGCCAACCTTGATCTTCTCCGGGTAGTTGACGGCGGCGTCGACCTCTGCGCGCGGAATGCCGAGCTCGGCCTCGGAGCCGTACATCTTCTGCATGGCAGAGAGGGCGGCGGCCTTGGCATCGGCGGAGACAGCGACCTCCTGGTTCTGGACCTTGGTGAGCTTGGCGCGGAACTCGCGGACGCGCCAGAGGTAGAGCTCCTGGGTCAGCTTGTGGTCGTCCCACTTCTCCTTCTTGGCCTGCTCACGGATGGCCGAGTAGCCGGCAAACTCAGCATCGATCTGCGCATCCGTCAGTCCGTCGAGCACGCCGCGGAGCTCCGGGTGGGACGCCGCCGCCGAGGCGAGGCCGTCCTTGAGCTGCGCCCGCTGCGCCTTGGACAGCGCGGCAGACGCGCCGGCAGTGGCAGCAAACGACCGCACAGCGGCGGCAGACGGTGTGAGCAGCGACTGTGAAGAGGGACGTGGGGGGAAGGGGTGGGGGGGGGAAGAGGGGGGGTAGGGGTGGGTGAGCGGCTGATCGATCGGGCGCGACATCCCGGTTTCACGGCCTTCTTCTGACGGCGGGCGGGGGGAGGGGGGGGAGATGGGGAGGGAGGTAGGGACGCAAAGGAGGAGGGAGACACGGCCTGGACACAAGGTTGGAAAGTAGGGACATGGTATGCCGTGTTTGGAGCTTCTCTACCCCTTTCTATCACTCCCCAGTGGCCTTGCGCGTCCCCACCCGGTGCGGCCAAAAATTAGCCTCGGCCACACACTCTGGCCATCGCCACCGCACACACTCACACCATACACACCCGCTGCACCTCATTGCAGCCTCTGTCACGGCCGGACATGGCAGGCAGGCTAGTTCCTTGCCATGCCCACTACTCGCACAAGCACGTACGGTGGCAACGCGCAGCATCCTGTGATGTGGGTGGAGTGGGGTGGCCGTCTCCGTCTCTCCGAGCCCAAGCCTGTGCCTTCCCCGGCTCAGTCCCATTGCCCGACCAATGGGCGTGACAGCAGCGCCGCCGCTGCACCACACCCTAGCCCGCTCTCTCTCTCTCTCTCTCTCTCTCTCTCTCTCTCTCTCTCTCCTCACACAGCCAGCGACTTGGATGTTTTACCAACATCGACTACACGTCGGACGAGTCGCTCAGGTCACCATTGTCAAGATCGTCCTGGGCATCGTTGTTGGTGTTGAGATCCTCCAGCTCGTCGATGCCGACATTGCCCTCGATGGAGAAGAACGGCGGCTTCTCACCACCATGCGGTGGGGTGAAGAGCGAGGTCATGATGGCGCGGATGTTGCTAAAGCCCTGCAACGCTTGCTTGGTCAGCCTGTTGCGCGAGAGATCGCACTCGCGGAGCCGCACAAGGTTGGTGAAAGACTGCGGGAGGGTGGCGAGGCGGTTGCCGTTGAGATGCAGCTTGGTGAGCCGGGTGAGCTTCTCGCACACGGCCTCAGGCAGCTCCTTGATCTGGTTGTTGACAGCGTACAGCTCTGTGAGCGAGGTGCACGCCTCAATGCCCGGCGGGAGCATGTTGAACTTGCGGCGGTGGGTCCGCTCGCGCTTGATGCCGCTCTTGCGCTCCTCATAGTTGCCCAACCGCGACATGGCCAGCACCTGCAGCGAATCGAGGCCCTTGAGCGACGGTAGCGACATCATCCGGTTGACGTCGAGCTTGAGCACTTGCAGCGCCTTAAGCTCGGTCACTCCCTGCGGGAGCTCTGCAAGCTGGTTGTACGAGAGCAGCAGCTTGGTCAGCCGCTTGCAGAGAAACAGGCCATCGGGCACATCGCCGAGAAAGTTCCACCGCAGATCGAGCTCGTCAAGCTCAGTGCAAAACTTGATAGTCTCCGGGAGCTCAATAAGCTCGTTCTGGACCATGCGGAAGGTCTGGAGCCGTGGGAGTGACGAGAACAGCGCAGGATCGAGCTCGCGGACGGTGTTGTACGAGAGGTCGAGCTCGGTCAGGTTAGTCAGCGCCGAGATCGACTCGGGCACGTCAGGATATCCATACGACTTGAGGTCGAGGCTCTGCATGTCGCGGTGTTCGTTGACCTTGTCGGCCAAAATGGCGTTGGCCAGCTGCAGCCGCGCCGCCTCGAGCTCCAGCCGCAGCTCGCGAATCTCTGCATTGTGCGTCGCCTCGTCCTTGCCCGACGGATTCTCCCTCTGCAGCATCAGCTCGGTCCGTTTCTCTGCCACCGTCTGCTGGTAGAGCATCACAATCTTGGACTCTCCCCGCGCTCGCTTCTTCCGCCCGCCACGGCTCTTGCGGCTGCTGGCGGCGCCCGATGGCCCGGCACCTGCTGCCGACATTGGTGGGGTAGGGGGGTGGGAGTAGGGGGTGGAGGTAGGGGTGGAAGTAGGGGTGGAGTGGGTGAGGTTGAAGTGTGAGGTAGTGGTGGGGGATGTGGAGGGCGGGTAGGGTCGTGTGGAGTCGTGGCGTCGACGATACTCGTGTGGACGGAACCAAGAATGAAGTCAGTCGACCGGTCGGCCGGTCAACCCGCGCAAGTCGCAACGAGCTGATAGGTGGTCAACCTGTTGAGCGAAAAATCGCAGAACATACAACGACGCACGCGATATCGCGTTTGAGTGGGGGGGGGGGGGGGGGGGCAGCAGAGAACAAGAGCCAGAGGAAGAGAGGAGGAAAGCGAATGAGACGGGACGGGCCAGGAGGTGGGTGAGCGGGGTCAGAGACCTACCGGCAAGTCGCATACTTAGCAGCGGGCAAGCGCAGCCTGGGCAAAGAACTTGACGTCCTTGTCGGTGTCCTCAGTCAGCTTGACCAGGCACGGCTTGACCTCCCCCTGGACAACCTCGGCCGGGAGCGACTTGATGATGGTCTCAAAGGCACGAGCGACGTTGAAGCGAATGTTGGGGACCGGGTCGACGGCGAGGCGGAGGGTGAGCGGGAGCATCTGGTTGAGAAGAAGATCCTCGCCGACGACGCCGGAGAGCTCAGCGATGCACATGAGGGTGGTCATGCGGTAAAGATAGTTGGGATGGGTGTACATGGAGAGGACCTTGGGAATGATGTTGCCCGCGGCCCACTCGACGCCAAAGACGTTGATGAGGGCGCGCAGGTTCTTGGTCGCCGCCTCACGGATAGAAAAGACCGAATCGCCGAGCCAGGTAAGGCACAGGTTGCCAAGCTTCTCGTCAAAGATGGCGATGCCGAGCTGCTCGGCAAGGAGTGGGATGAGCTCGATGATGGCGAGCCGGACGCGCCACTGCGAGTCCTCGGCGAGCTCCATGACTGCCGGCAGGAGCGACTGCGAAAGGAGGTCGATGCCGATGACGTTGTTGACGTCATTGAGCTTGGAGATGATGTTGAGGCGGACCTCCGAGAACTCGTCCTTGAGCAGCTGGAGGTAGATGGGGAGCAGGTGCTCGATCGTGTGGTTGCGGCCAAACACGGGGGCCATGCCCATGATGCCCGACGCGAGCGAGGCCCGGACGTGCTGCGAGGTGTCCACCACAAAGTCCTTGATGCACGGCAGAATCTTCTTCAGCACCTGGTCCAGCGGAATGAGAGCCGAGAACGGCGTGACCTTGAACGCAGCCACTGTCCGGACCTCGGCCTCAGTGTCACGCAGGAGCCGCACAAACGCCGGAATGAGCTCAGACCGCGTGATCTCCGGGCCGAGCGCGTCCGCCAGCGCCGTAAACTGCTCCGCAACCATGTAACGGACACGCCACGACTTGTCCTGAGCGCAGTTGCGCACAGTCTGCAGAATGAACGTCTGGTTCTCCTCCACATTAAACATCGAGCCGAGCGCCACGCAGTTCTCCACCGCAAGCAGCCGCACAGAGTCCTGCTCGTCCTGAGCCAGCGAGACAAACATCGGCGTCATCTCCGCCTTGGCCGTCTCCTTGTCCTGCGTCTTGGCAAACTTGCCAAGGTTCGCCGATGCCGCCCGCCGCACCATCGGCGTGTCGTCGTGGCACAGCTGGTTGAACAGCGCACGCAGCTCCGCCTGGTGCTCACCGGGAAGCGACGGGTACGCCACCGCAAACAGCCCGCACGCAGACGTCCGCGACGTGAACCAGTCACCAGTCCCCAGCCGCTTGATCAGCGGGAACATCTTGGCCACCATGTCGTCCAGCGGAAGCACAGACGCCACGTCGCAGAGCGACGCCACAGCCGCGTCACGCACAACAGTCTCCTCCACAGTGGCAAGCACCTCGAGCGGAGGCAGGAGCGTGTGCGCGTGCTCAGGCCCGCCCACGTAGTCCACAAACTTGCCCAGCTCCTGCACAAGCGCAAGAAGCACCTCATCCTCGTCGTCAATCGATTCTGTCAGAAACGGCAGCAGCTCGAGCCGCGTCCGCTCCACGCCCAGAGCGTCGGCAATGATCGACAGCCGCTTAATCGCTGCCACACGCAGCGTCGTATCAGGCGCCTTCAGCTCGTCAATCATGATCGCAATGCCCAGCAGCGACGAGTCGGACGACGAGGCGGCTGTACACACACACACACACACAACACCGTGCTCCTCCTGTGAGTCTCCTTCCCCCCCTTGCTCGCCCTCGCTCCGCCTCGTTGGCCAAGAACACGAAAAGCCGCAAAAACGTAGCCCGCACTTGCCACCCGGCCGTCGTCACCTTGCCCTCTGCTCCGCAACAGGACTCACACTCGGGCGTCCTTCACACAAAGCTATCCCCGGGGGCTCTCCCAGGCTTCTGCCCTTCCATGCCTTCCCGCAGCACTCGCCAGACCTCCCCTCCTGCCCTCGCCTGGCCCGCGCTCCACCAGGCCGACCGATTCCAACACAAAAATTGCCAACGTTCGCCGCCCAGCCAGCGAGTGTAGCCAAGGCGGCTACGTGACGGTCAGCCAAGGTGAGGCCAGCCATACTCCCACCTTTACCTGCAGTGTATGTTCCTCTTCTTCTATCCTGCTTCTGCGTACCCATGTCGAACGGAGTGGGGTGCTTGCCCAGCCTCTCTCCCTCCCCCCCGCCCCCGCCCACCCTTCTCGCCACCCACTCGCTCGCTCCTCATTCGTCGTCTCCCGCCGCCAGACCGAACAATCAAACTCCAGTCGCAGCTCCCTGAACGCCCAAAGCCACCCAATGCCAATCATGCCACTCGTTTCACCAATCACTCGTTTGCTGCCCTTGGCACAAAACTCCTGACAAAACACCCTTTGACATGCGGCAACAAGCAGACTGTCGAGGGTGATCGGGACATGAGAAAGAAGAGCAATGTGGCAAGCGCCTGCTGCTACGTGGCATCATCTCTGCATATGTTCAGATTCGTTCATTCAATACCGCACAGAGTCCGGCACGTCGCGGGCCAGAACAAACACCAGATCGTCAGGGAGGAGCTCGGCGGACGGCGGTGGGTTGGTAAAGACGAAGCCGTGGATGCGCCCGTCATCGGTCCGGTACCGGTAGAGGCCCAGTGGAATGATGCCGCGCTCGAGGGTGAGGTGAAGGAAGAGGTCGAGGTAGCACGCTCGGATGAGGTGCCGCGGGACAGGAATCTGGTGCAGCTCTGCATGCTGGCTCGAAGGCAAGCCCGGAATCGGATCGACGAGCGAGCCGAGGAGGAGCCACACAATCTCCAGAATGCCGTCGTTATAAAAGGTTTGTGAGAACGCCGTGTCCACCATCGCCGACGTGAACACTCGCCCGGCTGCAAATGCTGGCAGCAGGTACATGTCGTCGCGGTACTTTTCCTCAAACATGATCGGCGAGAGGAACTTGAGGTTCGTCTCGTGGATGAGTTCTGTGATGACATGGACGTGCTCTGCAGACGACTCAGACTGCGAGTTTGACGCCCCGTCCGGTAGCGCCAGGTCCAGCAGATTCGTTGTCGAGAGCAGCATCGATGCAGCAGACCCATTCTCCCGCCGTTGCGAAAACTGTGCCGCCGCCAGCGTCCGGTTCGTCGGCTCGGGCGCAAGCAACGCAGCCTCGAGCGTCAACAGAGCTAGGATGGAGTCAGCGTCAACAAGCGACGGATCCGCAAGCTTTGTCGCCTCGTTTCGCACCCGGTCTAGCATTTGGTTGAGCACAAGCACCGCCACCGCCCGCTTCAGCCCGGCTCGTACAAGGTCGAAGTGCTGCAGCGGCGAGCCCTGCACGTAGTACATCCGGAATCGCGTTGCCGCCACCAGCATCAGCCACTCCTCCTGCGGCGGCGGATCCGCATTGAGCACCACAACTGCTCGCTGCTTGCCCGGCGAGTACATCACCTCAAGCGTCGCCAGGAACGTCTGCATCTGCGAAAAGATCCCGCATACAAGCACCAGATCCTGCTCGGTCGTAGGCACCGTCTCCACCGCAAATACGCAGTCTGTTCCCACTGGCAGCGAGTTACTCGTCTCCTGCAGTAGCGTCGTGCTCGCCCCGAGCCCGCTCTGCTCCTCCTCCTCCTCCTCCTCTTCCTCGTTGCTTGCGTCTGCCACAACGCCGTCCTGCTCCTCGTCCTGCTCCTCGTCCGACGCCCTGATGACGTTGACCATCGAGACCGAGGCCATGGCCGGCGGCTGCCCGCCGTCATCCGAGTAGACGTAGTCGTCCGAGTCGAGACGAACGTCGACAGTTGCCGCCGATAGCCCCGGCGTACCGTGGGGTGGCGGGCGGACCGGCGAGGTGCGAGCGATGATCGGCGGCGCGAGCGGCTCCCGCGACGGGCTCTTTCGCTGCGTCAGCTTGCGGAGCAAGACCTCCCGGTCGGCGTCCTCGACCTCAAACGAACGCACAGCGTTGGCATCCACCGCGTCTTCCGATATAATGTACGCCACCTCATGTCCGCGGATGGTGTAGTCCGGGTTAAGCGCAATCTTACGCTCGCGCCCAAAATCGCTACGCTGTCCGCCACTGTCGTCGCTCGCAGCCACACTTACTGCAAAGAGGCATGCAGCGAGCTTGGCATACACGCACGCCGCAGCTTGTGCAAAGCTCAACCCCGCCATGCTCTGCGGCAGATGAATACGGTAGATTTCCATGCCGGCGCCGTGCACATACTCGCGAAGCCACTGCTCATCGTGATCCTCGGCCTCGGCCGCCGTCGACCGCGCCAGGTTGCCCACCAACGCAGGCAGGCCGCGGATGACGACCGACTTGGCCAGCAAGTGCGTCTTGGTATCCGAGAGGCACACCGCCTCCTCAACGCCCGAAGCAAGCACATGCGGAATGTTGACCGGCGAGAGGACTTGCGCAAAGGCCTTGATCGCCGGGTTGTACGCCTTCACCGACATGCACCGCAGAATCGTGGCCTTGTCCTGCTCGTGGACGTCAAAGCCGGTCTGCTGGTCCGCAAGGATGTAGCAGTGCGATGCGTGGTCGAGCGCCGCTCGCCGTAGATCCGCATCCACCAGCGGCGAGCCCTTGAGATACACGATCCGGTTGTTGTACGCTGGTGACATGAGAAGCCACGACATGGTAGGCGACGGCTCGTCAGGATGGAGAATGCCACGTGCAGGTTGGCCCACTCGTGGTCTTGATGGGTGAGCTCGTCCAGAAAGTCGCGGAGCTTGGTGACCTGGAACGACCCGCACACCACAATGTGCTTGACCTTGTGCTTCTTGACCGACCGGTCCCACGGCTTAGAAGCTTGGATGAGATTGATCAGTCGAGAGGTCTGCAGCGGCACAAGAATGACCGTCACCGCAATGAGCATCATGGTCAAAATCCGCCCGATCCGCGTCTTTGGTGAGATGTCGCCAAAGCCTACCGTCGAGAACGTGACTACCATAAAGTACAACGAGTCGTGGAACGCAATGTCCTGCGTCGGGTCGTCGCCAATGTGCAGCGCCTCCACAATCTGGAACATACCCGCAGAGACAAACAGCAGCGCCACAACCACAAACGCAAGCGTTGTCACCTCGCGCTCGATCGAATTGGTCCGCAACATCACCAGCCGGTACGACCGGAGGACACGGAGGACACGGAAAATGCGGTAGACCCGGAAGAAGCCCACATTGACCGTCTCTTTGGCCAGCAGCATTCGCAAGTACATCGGAACCACCGTGATGACGTCGATCATCGGCATCGGCGACAAGACGTACCGGATGCGATTGCGCGCTGCCAAAAAGTGCACCACATAGTCATAAGTGAAGAAGAGTGCGAGGAGAATCTCAAAGACAGTCACCCACGTCGGCTCGCTGTCAAAGTACGTGGCCGCAATGTAGAGCACCACCGAAAGAATCGAGAGCACAATCTGAGTCATTTCCATGATCTTGCCCGTCGTCGACGTCCGCAGGTACCGGTCCAGCCGCTCACGCTCCTTGGGATTGTTGCACCGCCGGCACCAGCACTCTTGGCCCAGCTCATCCGTCAGCTCCCACTCATCGTCGGCATGCGAGACATTCCACCGCTCCAGCATGACCTTGTTCGTCGTCTGTGCTCGTCCATATGGCGAGAGCATGCCGATCGAGTTGACGCTGGAAAGCCTGCCGGCCGCAGAGGCGAGCTCTGACCCACACCCGCAGTGTGCCCGCTCATTGCCGAAGCTCGCGAGCCCCACCGGACCATGCCAGGCCTGGCAAACTTGGCTGCCTCTTCGTAGTACGACGAGTACACAGAGCCTTCATCGCTGCTCAAACTCCCATATCCGGACGACTGTTCGCTAACACTGCGAAGCGACGGCACTGACGATCCTGCAGGCGTCCCGCGAAGAAACGCCCGCGAGCTTTCCGATCCTGACATGCCCGACACAGGCCTGCCAGACGCAGGCCCGCCGGTTCTTGACGAGTTCGAGCCAGACGACGACGATGCTGACCTCCTCGACGGCAAGGATGCCCAAGATGATGCCCGAGACGAGAATTGCGACCGTGAGCCCGAGAGAGAGGGCGTCTCCATCTCCACCGACAGCGCCGATGCCAGCAGTGGCTCGAGCGGGCGAGACCGCGCTGGGCTTGCCATGCAAGGAGGAAGAGGGAAGGCAGACAAGAGAGACACGTGCGGTTCGAGGCAACAGGATGAGCCAAGGTGGCTTGGAGACCTTTCCGCTTGCCCTCACTGCCTTTCCCTTGTCTCTGCCCTACTCTGCGCTGGGTGTGGCGTTGCGTGTTGTGCGCTGTGCGCGGTGCGCTGTTCACTGGGCGCGAGGGCCTGGCCCGCCGGACTTTGGTCGCTTGGCGCGCGGCTGTTGATCGCTCGGCTACTGGTACGGGATGGCTAACGGGCGCAAGACAACAACTCTGATGACTTGCAACGTGAGAGGCATGAAGGCGTGGTGCATGTGCTGCTTGTAGAGCTGCTTGTAGAGGTGGTAGATAGGGTAATCGGATTGTATTGCTCATGGAGGGGGAGGTGGGGCGGGGGAGGGGGGGCGGGGTCCCACCTCCCCCCCCACACACACACACACCACACACACCACAGCTTATGGCTTCCTCGATCTTGATCGCAACCCGGTGTGAGAGCCTGGGCTTCGATAAAGGTAGATGTGATGCAATTGAGAGAGACAGGACTGAGCAGGGCAGTGCGCTGAACTACTCACATGCAGCCAGCGGCAACAACGACTCAGTCGGCGCATCTACTTGGCGCTAGACTTGGTGTCCGAGTTGACGCTGGACGTTTCTGAGGAACGGGAGAGCGCATCGATCTCCGACTGGACCTTGGCGGCGGCGGACGAGGCATCGACGTCGTCCTTGGTCATGTCGGCCAGCTTGGAGAGGACGTGGCCCCAGTTCTCGACATCGCCGACTCCGGCATGGACAAAGTAGTGGTCACCAGTGGATGGGACCTGGAACGAGGCAAACGGGCGGCCAAGCTCGCGGGTGACCTCGTCGATGTGGACAACCGACTTGGCCGGTCGACCCAGAAGCGAGAGGGTGGTCAGATGGACCACGTCCGGCGATGCCGGATCCACGCTCAGATTCACCACATACGGCTTGGTGAACCAGTAGAGCAGAGAGGTGGTAAAGGCAGAGACCGCCATCGCACCACCGGCCATCGCCATCCCGGCCTGCAGTGGCATGTGCTCCGACGCAAGTACGGCCAGCGCCGGCGAGCCGACTGCTGTCAGGACCATCGACGAGACTGAGAACACCTTGACTGCGCGGATCGGCCGACCCAGCGGACCCCGATATATAGTCTCCAGCGCCCCACTCCCGGCCGTATCCTTCTCGGCCACGGGCTGCTCGCCTCCAGCCTCAGATGCGGCCGCAGGTGCCGAGAGCCAACTCCGCGGCAGACATCCCACTCCTCCAGCCAACCCCGCCGGTGCGGCCATGCCTCCTGCTCCTGCTTGAGCAACCCTTGCCCGCACTCCCCTCATACAAATGATAGACACTTGCCGCAGCATGGTCCTGCCTTGCTTGGATATCAGATGAGTCTGTGCCTTGTTCCAAACGTCTGACCTGCCGCTGTCACTCGAGCTAGCGGTCTCGAGTAACGCGTCGCCGAGCGTCTTGACGAGTCGGGCCGGCCAGCTGGTTCGAGTCGGCTGGCGGTCGGGAGACGACCACAGCACTCTTGATTTTCAGCATGGCTCGCAATGTTGCAACCAGCGCTATCGCTCTTGTCCTTGTAGCCGTGGTGTGTGGCATTGTGGTACGCTGGAGTGCAGGTCGTGTGGGGCATCGCTGGTGGGTACTACCGGTCAAGCAGATGCTGGGGGTGCGGGTGCGCGAGTTTGCACGGAACGTCACACCCGACGTCACACTCACATTTGATGGCCACACGCGGTCACAGCACGAGACCTACGGCACATCTGCTGCAATCATAGCCTCAAGTGCACAGCTACAAAAACAGCTGCGCAAGTGTAGCGCGTTCACAGAGGTCTGGGTATCACCGCTAACGCCGCTGGCGCCACGGCTGCGACATGCCAACGACGCGGCAGCAACAGAGCGCGTTCCGACCTCGTTGCAGCGTGCCGTTGCGTACGCAAGCGAACACAGCTGCACTGCCATTTACCTCGAGGTAGGCATATATCGCATAGATGCGCCCATGCTGATGCCGTCCGATACGTTGGTGACGGGCGGGTGGGGGAATCGCGACCGCGGGCGGCCACGGGTGCAGGTTTTCGACTCGCGCCTCACCCGCCTCCACATCTCCGGCTCTAGTTTTGCAGTTGCGTGGAACGAAACTTCCCTACCGATCCTTGCCCCGGTGGTGGCTACGAACACAACGCGATGGATGCTCTCCGGAGTGAGCCTGTCTGCCGATGTCCCGGCACAGGCCAAGCCTGGTGCGCCTGGAGTCAACGTTTATGGCGCCATTGTCTCCGACTGCTCAGCGTACGCTCTCACCAACATCCACTTTGCGGAGCTCATTGCTGGCCCAGGAGGCGATGGTGTCTCGGCTCGAAACTTGACCGCGGTTGAGGGCAACTACGTCAAGTGCAGCGCGCTACAGCCCACAGATCTGCGCCACAACCCAAGACGCAATCCCGCGCTTGGTGGACGGCGAGGTCATAGCGTCTACGATTGCCCCCTCGACGGACGGACTCTGTTCTTTATGGCAGCCGGAGATGGTGAGAGCACATCACCACTCGACGCAAGAGACATCGGCGGGCCCGGAGCGACGATGAGCGGCAGCTCGGCCGAAGTCGCACAGCCGGTCATCCCGGCCCGCGACGGCGAGCCCGGACAGGACGGCGAGAGCCGCCTGGGGCAGGTGCCCTGGCTTGATCCACTCACCACGTCGATGGCAGCTCTTGCACCGTGGACTGGCGGTGCAGGATCACGCGGTCATGGCGGAGGCGGGCGGGGCGGAGCCCACTCGGGCGCATATCGCGGACGCGCCAGCTACTTTGGACGGATCACTTGTGTCACCGGTGGTGTGATCGATGAGGACCAGCTGGGGTGCGGATCGCATGGCGGGCTTCCAGCCACGGTCGGCTCTGGACCTGGTGGATCTGCAGCGGCGCTGGTCATCCGAGGCCCGATCGGTGAGCTGAGTCTGCTCTCGTTTGGACGTGTCCAGGCCGGCCGGGCCGGTGCCCCGGGGGCAGGCGGCATGGCTGCCGAGCCGACCGTGGTGCAATTCCCAGGCGGACGTGGCGGACGCGGCGGGGACAGTGGACGAGGCGCACACGGCGCCAAAGCCCACGTTGTACACTTTGCACCCGGGGAAAGGGGGCTGCGATCGACGTTGCACCCTACGCTGCTAACCCGTGCGAGGTCGCGCTCCTGCAGGCCATCACCCACGCAGCGCGTCCGCCCGCCTCGCCGTTCTCGCCGCACATCTTTGATGCGAGCCCGGTAGCAGCAAATTGGAGCTATCCGGTCGATGCAATTGTCAGCTCGGCCGGTGTGGTGTTTCCAAGCCCAGGGCCAAAGCAGGTGATTGCATACGCTGGTGCCAGTGCAGTCGCGCTGGATGTGAACGTGGGTTACATCGGCAACGCGCACGACGAGCTGAAGGTACCGGGTGCGATTCCGGTCACCAACAGCCCAACAAGGCAAGCAGTAATGCGCGCGCAATCGAGTCTGGGTATGACGATGTCTCCCAGGGTGGAAGCCGTGGCGCTGCTCCCCACCACCCCCGCCGCTGGCTGTCGCGTGGACGAGAGGCGAGTCACGGCCGGCAAAGCCGACAGCGAGTGCGTGCTCATTGGATCGCGGCATGGGCTCGACATAGCGCTGTTGATCATTCAAGTTCGGACCATTTCCACGGCCAACGTGACGCTTGCTCCTGTTGTTTCGGGCTTTGCAGGCGAGGCGCTGCGCTTTAGTCTGCAGGCCTGGTCGCGCGATGGTCTGCCAGTCCCGGCGTCATCGGCCGCGATCGCCGTCATCGACACAACCAGCGGGAGTCACCTGAGCATCACGCGTAGCTCACGCGCAGCATCTGGTGCTCTTGACATAGTGCTGCGTATTGTCACAGCTGGACGTTATCCTGTTGAGGTCCGAGTCGACGGCGTGCGTGCTGGGAGTGCCACGATCGAGATCCGTCCCGAGTGCGCGCCGGGCTTTTACCCGACTGGAGAACTAGGAACCTGCGGTAAGTGCGCGACGTGGATCCGACTAGCCCCGTATGTGGCCGGATGTATGTTCGTAATCACTGCTGTGCTGCTAGCACTGGCTGGATCCTGGACACCGAGCCATGTTCTGTTGTACACACCGGCTGCCGTGGCGGCAATCCATGTGGCGCTGACTCACGCGACGGCGGCGTCGCCGTCGCCTCTGCTCCTCGCGGCACTCGATCAACTGCAATGCAGTATGCCCCTGGAGTGGACAGTTGCCGACGCGGCGACAGCAGCTTCGATGATGTCGACGCCAGCGGCTGCAGTAGTCGCTGTGGCTGTCCATGCCGCGGTAGGGCTTGCCGGTAGCGAGCCGATACGCGACGGGTCGGACGACGATGCCAGTACCAGCAGTGACGAGTTGGCCAGCGTACCGGCGCCCAGGCCTGCGCTTGGACCAGGCATCATGGCTCAAGCTCTGCCGCTGGTGGGAACCTTTCTTCCTGTTAGCCTCGGATCCGGTCTGGTGGCTCATGCGAGTGGAGGCTGGCCGCACAGCGAAGGAGCAGCGGTGGCAGCAGCGTGCGTGGTCACCTGGGGCCTCCTTGCAATCCATCGCGGTCGCCGGCAACTGCAGCAGAGCATCCGAACGGCATACGAGTTGGCACTGGTTGCATTGATGGCAACAATCAATGACTCCTGGCTGCGGATGCAGGGTTGCGTGGCTCTGATAGCGGCGTATGGAAGCTATGTGGCGGTTCGGACAAGCGACAGTGGCCGGGCGCCGCACCTCAAGCTCATCGAGTTGGCGTTCATCGCCGCGACCCTGGCCTTCATCGCAGTCGCTGACATGGACGAATGGTTTGGCTGGCAGATGACGGACAAAGCTCAGAGAGCTGCAGCTGTGATGCTTGGCGCAATGGCAGCAAGCCTGGTGGTTTGGGACGTGGTGCGGATCAGGCGCAAGATGGTGATTCACGTCGAGCTTCGCCGCCTGGTATGGGACATGTTGGTGCCAGGGAGGGCGAAGACAAGCTGGTGTCCACAGACAAGCTGTTGGACAACTTGACAGCGCTTGGCCTGGGCGGTTTCTCCTCCGATGGGCGGCCTCTGGCCGCGGCACTAGAGCACATCGGCGACCTGCTCAAGGATGGTCGGCTGGATGACGAGGATCAGCCACCGCCGGTGGTCGACGCTGACGAAAATGCCCAGTTTGAGCGGGTTATAGCCGACGCCGCAGAGCTGAGTCGACACCTGACGATGGCTGCGGCAAGCGCGCGGCCGAGCCCATCACTTCTGGCTGCCATCAACGAGCAGATTGAGGCATGGCGGGCGAGGCCTCCGCCGACGTTTACCAACTCGCGGTTCGACACGGTCCGGGCAATCATTGCCGGGTCTCTAGCGTACACCGAGAGAGCCATCACCAACAGCGACTACCAGCTCGCGACAGAGCTCTGGCAGCAGCGTGTTGTTCCGCTGATGAGGGCGTACGAGATGGACTTTGATCTAGAAATGCCCTTGTAATCACGTGTCCGTGACATGGCTCGCAACATCGACCCACCACATAAAGCTATGCGCATCGCACCATACTGCACCGACTGTATTATCCCCCCCTCATCGCCACGGCTGAAGGCAGACCCAAGGCAGACAGTCGCCCACCACCAGCCGCCAGCGCCAGCCGCCAGCCGCCAGCCGCCTGTCGGCCAACCGGCCAACCGGCCAACCGGGCCAACCAAAGGCAGGCTTGACCACCCGACGCCATCGCATCATATTGCACCACCGAACATGAACGAGTCGTTCGTGACCGAGCTCGAGACTAGCGTGGCTGTTCCTGTGGAGGACGGCGACTTTCCAGCCACCACCCTCAACAATCTCCTTGATTCCCGCCTCGAAGCCAGTGCTGATGCTGTATGTCTCCATGTCATGCTTGTGCGGGGGGGGGGCCGCAGCGGGCCAAAAAACCAACATGGGGTGGCGAACAGGGGCTAGCGGATAGGGGCTGGTGTGGGGCATAGTGATGGGTGGAGAGATGTAGGACTTACTAAAGAGGATGTGCATGGTGTGTACCGGGTATGGGTGTGGGTGTGTGGAGGTGTAGGTGGCGTATGGCAGTGTGGGAGCCAATGGCGAGTGGGTGACCACGACGTGGGCCGAGGCTGGTCACCTTGTCCGCTCGCTCTCAAAGTCGCTGGTCTTTGCTGGGCTGGAGACTGGCGATGTGGTGGGCATTCTGGCGCCAACTCGCTCGAGTGGGCTGCGACGCTGCTGGCGGTTACCTCGCTGGGTGGTGTGGCTGTCGGCCTGTTTGAGGACGCCGACCTCGCCTCGCTCCACTGGCAGGTCAAGCACGCCGCGCCACGGTTTGTCTTTGTCCACGACGAGGCCGAGCTGGCCAAGATCAAGTCGACGCCTGGCGCGTCGGACTTTGTCGAGGGCGTGGTGGTCTTTAACGGCGAGGTGGCCGAGGCCCGCCGGGGCTCGCTGCCTGCCGCTCCGCCTGCACTCCCGCTGGCGGTGGCCCAGGATCCGGACGCGTCGTTTGAGGCTGGCGAGACCGTTGCCCACAAGCCGTTCCAGGTCTGGTCGTGGGCCACGTTCCTCACTCTTGGAGCGCACTCGATCTCAAACGCGCTTGTCGAGCGCCGGTCGAGCAAGGTCGAGCCTGGCTGGACGGCCATGCTGGCGTACACGTCGGGGACGACCGGTACGCCCAAGGCGGCTATGCTCTCGCACGACAACCTGGCGTATGCGGCACAGGGCCTGGGTGCGGTGCTGGCCCGACGGGCGACGATCATGTGGTGTCGTACATGTCGCTGGCTCTGGTGGCCAACGCCGTCTTTGACATCTTCTCCTCGCTCGTCACCGGCGCGGTGGTGTGGTTCGGGCCGGACGATGCGGCGTCGTCGGCCATCCTTCCTGTTCTGCAGGACGTGCGGCCGACGTTTTTAACGGGTACCCGCGGGTGTGGGAGGATCTCGCTCGCGCGTGCCTGGCGGCGCCGACCGAGGTTGAAGCCTCGGTGCTGGGCCTCGACCGGTGCCGCTACGCGGCGTCGTCGGGTGGCTTTCTCCCGCCGCACATCACTGAGTACTTTGCTGCCGCAGGCGTGTATATTGTGCAGATTTACGGAACGGCCGAGACTTCGGGCGTCGCCGCTATCTCGTCAGAGCTCTCGCCGCTGGTCTCGGTCGGCATTCCGCTCGGCACGACAACGATTGCGCTCGCGGACGAGAACGCCGACGGCGACGGTGTGCTTGCTGTCTCGGGCCGTACCGTCTTCAAGGGTTACTTTAAGGACGAGTCGTCGTCGCGGCGGCGTGTCCTCGACTCGGGCTTCTTTGTCACGGGCGACGTCGGCCGCATGGATGACGGCTACGTCTTTGTCCACGGAACCAAGAGCGACATGATCAAGGTTGGTGAGGACAACTTTGTCGCGCCTGCGCCAGTCGAGGCCCTGCTCAAGGCCCAGCTCCCCATTGTCGCCGACGTGCTTGTCTTTGGCTCGCACCGTGACGCGCTCTGCGCCTTTGTCACCCTCAAATCCGAGTCCGAGGGCTCCGGCCCGCCGTCGCGTGACATCTCGCTCCACACCCACGCCATTCTCGAGTCGCACGGCATCGATCTGGTCTCGGACGCCGTCACCGACGTCGCCGCTGACGCCCGGGTTAAGGCCCTTGTCGACCGCGCCGTCCGCGCCTACAACGACAGCCTCGACAATGCTGGCTGCGCCGTCGCCCGCTGGACCTTTGCCCCGGCGCCGTTCTCGGTCGCCAAGCGGGAGCTCACCGCTTCATTCAAGACCAAGCGCCGGGTCGTCCTCGACAAGTACGCCGCCCAGGCCGCCGCGCTCGCTGGCTCGCCGGCTGTGTCTGCCACCGCCAACTCGTACACCGGCCCGTCGACCGCAGCCTACACCGGCAACGACTCGATGATCGGAGTCGGTGGCGGACTCTCGTACCCGGCGCCGTGGCTCTCGTCGCCGATGACCCGGCCGCGGCCGGCCGGCATGTTTGGCGCCGGCTTTGGCTCGCCGTTTGCATACGGCCTTGCCGGCCAGCAGCCGCTCTCGCCGCTGCACCTCTTCATGTCGCCCGGCGGCTACCGCAGCCGGCCCTCGCGCCTCGACGACGACGTCGACTCGGACTCGGACTCGGACGAGTGAGTAGCCTCGTCATCATCATTCGACAGCCGCAGGCCCCGAAGCAAAGCAGAGTGAGACGTTGGTCCCGCCAAAGCCAAACGAGTTGGAGAGTGCGTAGGTGAGCTCAGCCTTGCGAGACTTGTGCTGGACGAGTTCGACCAGCTCGGAGTCGAGCGCCGCGTCGATGTTCTCGAGGTTGGTGTTGACCGGCGCCACCCCGTGGTGGAGCGCAAGGACCGTGATGAGTGCCTCCACTGAACCCGAGGCTCCGAGCAGGTGCCCGATCGCGCCCTTGGACGACGAGACCAGGAGCGGCTCGCTCGCCTCGGCATCCGAGAGCAGCTTGTGGATAGCCGAGTACTCGACCGCGTCACCAAGCGAAGTCGACGTTGCGTGCGCGTTGATGTAGTCGAGCTCTTCGACCGGAACCCGCGCCCTCCGCAGCGCCATCCGCATGGCCCGCAGCGCCCCGCGCCCATCGGGCGCCGGCGCCGTCGTGTGGTGTGCGTCACCCGTCAGACCATAGCCCTGGAGCTCGGCGTAGATGTGGGCGCCACGGGCAATCGCGTGCTCACGCTCTTCCAGAACGAGCACGCCGGCGCCCTCACCCATGACAAACCCATCTCGCAGCTGGTCAAATGGCCGGGACGCCACTTCGGGCGTCCGCGCCCACGCTGTCGACAGCGCCTTGGCCCGGGCAAAGCCGGTGAGCGCCAGAGGGTCGAGCGCAGCCTCGGATGAGCCGGCCACCATGACGTCGGCGTAGCCGAGCGCAATAAAGTTTGCCGCGTCGCCGATCGAGTGCGCACCAGTGGCACACGCCGTCGCCACCGCGTGGTTCGGGCCCTGCAGACCGTGGGCGATCGAGACGGTACCCGCCGCCAGGTTGACCAGAATCCGCGGGACAAAGAACGGCGAGATTCGCCGCGGCCCGCGCTCGGGATCGACCAAAGCCAGAGTCCCATCGTGGATGTCTGCCATCGAGCCCATGCCCGAGCCGAGAGCCACCCCTGTCCGCAGCGCAGCCTTGGTCCCAGCCGGTGCCCACTCGGCATCCTCCAGAGCCTCTGCGGCGGCTGCGGCGGCCAGATGGATAAAGCGCGACGAGCGGGCAGCAGTGGCCCTATCAAGCGAGGCCACCAGATCAGCAAAGGGCACGTCAGCCGGAGCCACCGCCGAAACCATCGGCAGCGGTGGCGGATGATCGACAGCCGTGCAGTGAGTCGGTGCCGAAGGAGTGAGGGCAGCCACCGATGCCGGCGACCGTGTCGCCGACGCACCCGAAGCCAGACCCTCCCACAGCGTCATGGCGCCCATTCCAAAGGGTGTCACCGCTCCAAGTCCCGTCACCACCACCCGTTTCATGCTATTTGTGAGATGGGTAGTGGGGTGTGTGTGGCGTGGGCGTGGGGGGGGGGGGCGGGGGGAGGGGGGGGGAGGGGACGGAGGGAGGGGGCGAACATTCATGACCGAAACGAATGGTGTCGGAAGGGAGGGGGAGGGGGGTAGGGGGGGGGGGGGCTGCCCGCTGCCAGCCGCCCGCCGACTGGCCGCGCCAGCTCTCGGCCACCCACGGACACGCACCACAGCCACAGTCAAACACCTCACACCACACACACACTCTCCACACACTCCACCTCCCCCACACACACACACACTCTCTCTCTCTCTCTCTATCTCCACACACACACACAGACCTGCCACACTATGGCGTCCCACTGGCTCGACACACGTCGTGGCTCCACGACGTCAACCGCCAGCTCGCGGTCGGTGGCCAGCTCGGTGGCGGCGCTGCGGGCAGCGGATCCGGCTCGCATACGGAGACTCGTCCGTGCTCGCGCCAATCTGACGGCCGTGGCTGCCAAGCACACCCGGCGGAAGGCTCTGGTTGCCGATCTCGAGGACTCGGTGGCTAGTCTCTGCGCAGACATGGGCGCAGATCTGCCCTTTCTCCGCTTTGTGGACACCAGCCCGGACGAGGGCCCGGCCTACGTCGTCCCGCAGATCGACGGGCCTGCTCGCTCACGTCCCTGGCGTGAGCCTGTCCCGCCTCCCCGCCATCGCCCTCCGCCTGCCCCTCCATCGCGCCCGTCTGCTGCCCGCCGCCCGCGCTCGTTGCCAGACTCACGCCGCACGCACGAGTCGTCAGCGGACAAGCTCGCTCGCCGCCGCAAGGCCAAGGCGGTCAAAGCCCGTGCGTGGTTGAGGACAAAGCAGAGGGCGTTTCCGGAAAAGCTGGTCTCGGAGGCCTATGCTGCTGTGGCGCCGCCGTCGCGCGCTCCGCCACCAGGCTTTCCGCGCCATCTCGCCGCCTACGCCGACGAGGAGACCCAGACCCGCCTCGCCCGCCTCATCTCCGCCCGTGCCCTCCTGGAGCGCAAGGCCTGGCCGGAACTCACCGCTCTACAAATCATGGTTACGCCGAGTACGCTTCATGGCGTTGCCATGGGTACAGACGTCTTTGGCGAGCTTCAGGTTGTCGTCTCGCTCGGAGCCGACCAACGCGGCTTCCTCGCCGACTATGAGGTCATCGAGCCAGCCGTAATCGACTTTACGTCCTCTGGTGCCGTTGAGTTTCTAGTCGACGCCCGCGCCGCCACACGCGATGACATTTACATCGCCGTCTACGAGATCCAGCATCCCGACGATGAAACCATGTATCCAGTCTGCGGGCCGACTTCGTTCCCGCTCCCGGCGGTCAGCGCCCTGGCCCGCGCCTCGGCCAACCACATTGTCCCCCTGTCATGGTGGCATGCTGACGTGCCCTTCCATGATGATCTTGTGCGCAAGCCGGCTACCATCTCGCTCGCGATCACAGTCACTCCGCTCCCGTTCAACTCGCGCGCCGCAGCCCGCGCCACCAAGCTCGATGCCCGCATCGCGTCCATCACTGCCACGCTGGAGCGCAAGGCTGCTTCTGCTTCTGCTTCCGCCGCCGCTGCTTCTCCAGAGTCTGCCGCAGGCTCGCAGACAGGCTCGGTCGCCTCCGACGTCACCGATGTCGCCATCCCGGTCGTCGAGAGCTCCGCCCCTACCGCCTCCATCGACGTCATTCCGCCGTCGGTCTCAAACTCGGTTGCCTCTGCCGACGCCGACGAGACCGAGAGTGATGACGCTCTGCTCGCAAGCTCGAGCGACTCTGAAAGCGAGGCCAGCTCTGCCGCCTCACGCGCCACATCCGCCACCTCGCGTGATGTGACCGATGCCGGTGACAGCTCGGTGCAATCTAGCTCGGTGCTGTCACTTGCCCCGCCGCCACCACCGCCTCCACCGCCGCCTCCCAGGTCGGCGCTGGCTGGTCTTCGTGGCCTGGACCATCCCCTGGACATTGCCTTTGATCTCCACTGGTCTTCGCTCTCGTCCCATGCCATCACCGCGCTTCACGCCACTCGTGATGGTCTTGTTGCTGGCGACGGCGACGGCGCCATCTTCTGGTGGCAGGTTCGCTCTCACATCATTCAGTCAACATCGAGTTCGGAGCCGACCCAGAAGAAGCACTCGTTTGATCTTGTGCACTCGTACCCCGCCATCGGCGCCGAAGCCACTGCAGTCGTGCTCTCGTCTGTGGCTGTTTCGCCAACCGACGTTCTCATTGTTGCCTACGACAACTCGCAGATGCGAGTGTGGCAGGCCTGCTCTGAGCCGCCGCAGCATGAGTGCTTGCAGCTCATCTCGCTGGCATCGCCGGTCACCGCCCTCGCCTCGGATCCGCACTCGCTGGTCTCCGGTGCTCGCGACGGATCCGTCCATCTGTGGTCGACCGGCAAGGTCCGCCTTATTGTCACTCTCTCGGGTGCTACTGGTGCTGCTGTCACTGCCGTTGCCGTCGCAGGCACTCGCGCCGTCACCTCGGCCATCGACGGTCAGCTCTCGGTCTGGTCCGTCGCGCGCTCGGGTGCCTCTCTCCTCCACAAGATCCAGGCCCACAAGCGGTCGCTTACCTCGTTTGCACTGCCTATGGGCTCGACATTGATCTCAAAGCCGCTGGACACCCTTGCCACAGCCTCTGCAGACGGCATGGTCAAGGTCTGGGACATGCCACGGCGCCTTGTCTCGCACAACTACTTTGCCCTCAAGCGCGGCCCAGTCCTGGCTGTGGTCTTTGATGGCTCGCACATGCTCTCGGTCGGTGCGCCACCCCAAGTGGTCAACCCCTCATCTGCCCCGGGCGCACCAGCCCCGCCGCCGCCGGCCGAGCTCAAGCTCTGGTCGCTCGACCGGGTTCGCCATCTCGCCGCCTGGCCACTTCCTGCGCTGCCCGCTCGCTTCACTACCTCGGATAAGATGGTCGTCTTTGGCCTCGAGCCGCATGACGTCGTCCACCCGCCCGAGAACGATGACGATGAGCCGGTCACCACATTTGAGTCACGCCTGTTGGTTGTATTGACCTCGCAGCGATAGTCGCACACCTGTGCGCCGCTAAAGCCCGTCGACCCGCGGGTCGATGCCGAGCCCGGCGAGCCCGGCGTCAATGACGCTCACCGTGGCTTGGCATAGCGTGAGGAGAGCAGCCTCGTGTACCGATCCCACCACCCGCACAGCCGAGTACCAGGTGTGGAACTCGCCCGCGAGGTTGTGCAGTGCTCCCGCAAGTGTGTGGGGCGCGCAAGCGCTTGCCGCACTCCGAACAGCTGCAGGCATTCCCAGAAGCGCAAGCGCAAGCTGCCGGCTTGGCCCATCCAGCGCAGGAGCCGCGCCGTCAAACAACTTGACAGGCTCACGCTCTGCCTTTGCCAGCAGTGAGAGAGCGCGCGCCCGTGCGTACAGTACGTAGACAGCCGTCTTGCCCGTTGACTTGACCATGTCGTCAAAGTCGAGCACATACCCGCGCGGCCGAAGCAAGTCGTAGTACTTGAGAGCAGCAACAGCAAGTCGCCGCGGATCGTCACCGCTCTGCAGCGAGGCTGTCGCTGCTTTCTCAGCCGCATCTAGCAGCGCCTCTAGCTGAAACTCAAACTGTACCCCTGCGCGCGATGAGAGCTTGCCGCTTCCGGGCGACGCCCGAACCATGCCAAACGAAGCATGCCGAAGCTCGAGACCCTCCACGCTGCCGCCCAGCACTTGGCTTGCCTTGCTGCTCACGGCAAACAGCTGCGCAAAGTGCTGCGCCTGCGAGCCATCGGTCACGTACACCATCCGTGAGTAGCGCGGTGACGCCGCCAGCCGCGTCGCCAGCGCAGCCACATCGGTGGTCGCGTAGAGGTACCCACCATTGGCCTTGGAAAAGAGAAACGGCGCGGCAAATCCTGATGTTTCGATGCCCCATCCTCCGCCGTCTTCTTCACGTGCGCCCTCGACCTGCTTGAGCTTCTCAACGAGATCTGGGAGCATGGCTGCGTAGCTCGACTCGGGCCGCCTCTCCGATCCCAGACCAAGGCGGGTCGACATCAACGAGTCGATGACCCGGCGCGAGACGCCACATACCTCGTCGTACACCGTGAGCAGTGCTCGTTCGCTGGTGTCAAGCTCGGCGAGACGTGCACGCGCTACCAGTGCGTGCTGCAGCCTCAACGTTGTCGCCTGCACCGCCTCCCCAAACGCAGCATCACCCGCATCGAGCCGGCGCTTGCCGTCGGCGTACGCCTGCGAGACTGCTCCCAGAGCATCCCGATCCTCAGATCCTGGCTTCCTTAACACTGGCGCAGGGCCTAGTTGGGCCAGTGTGATGCCCATCGGCGTTCCAAAGTCGCCCTCATGCGAGACAACGTCGACAGCATTCGCCCCGGCAAGACGATGCAGGCCCTCCAGGGCAGCGCCAAAGATATACGACCGCATGTGACCTACATGCAGAATCTTGCCCATGTTTGGCGAGCCTGCATCAATCAGCACCCGTCCTCTCACTGCAGACCCGACATCGCCGCTCTGCGTAGCAGCAGCCAGACCAGATCGCTCGCCAAGACCCGCCACGGCCGACCACAGAGCCGAGTTTGTGAGGCGCAGATTGACAAAGCCACGGACAGACCAGGCATCGTCAACCACATCGGACATATCCCTCATCAGCGAGTCAGCCAGAATCCGCGCCACGTCATCTGGTGTCGAGGGAAGACCATCCGCGCCAGCAAGTGCAAAGCCCGCCGGGACAGCAAGGTCTGCTTGCGACGCAGTCGTCGTCGGCGCTGCCAATGGAGGTACGCTTCGCCCGCTGGGCGCCATGCCACACACTCGGGCATGGAGTATGTCCAGAAGGAACCTGGTCCGAGTCATGGCAGAGATGCAGGAGGAGGGGGGGAGGGGGGGGGATTGGCGAAGCAAGGCATCGCCTAAAAATCGGAGATCCAGCAGATCGTGTCAGAGTGGGGGACGAGCTGCTGCGAAGAGTGGTTGATCACACATTTGATGCGCGAGACGGACAGGCTATGACTCCTCTCTCCGGAATTACCCCTCCCGCTCGCAGGCTCGCGGTCGGGAGTCCCGGTGACAAACAGGGCTGTGGTGTGGATGACACAGTGCACACCCTGGGAGACCCCCTACATGAGGGGGCCGTACTGTCCTTGGACAGTGCGGGAGTCGTGGACAATGTAATTTTTGGGGTCGCGCGACCTTCGGCTTCAGCCGCGCTCAGGGCACCGGGTGAAGGGTAGCAACCAGTCACGGGCTCTGCCCGTGGCCGGGGGTGCACCCGGGGTCTTGAGCAGGCCGAGGAGCGTGTACCACCAGGAAGGGGGGCCAGGGGAGGAGCCGGCCCCCTGGGCGCCAGGACGTAGTCCGTCTGGCGCCCTTGCACATCCTTCCTCGTGGTCAGAAATGACCCGCCAAACGTCATGCGACCGGAGTCCGCAAGGGGGTGCGGTCTCATTCGAAGGGGGTTGACCGGCGGTAGGTGCACCTACCGTTTGTCGCCCCCGATGGTTGCGGTCAGGGATCCGTCCCTAAACGGCGCTGCGAGGTGTGGACGGATCAGCGGGGCGAGGGCGCATGCGCCCCGCTCACGCTGATCCTCCTAACCCCCCATGGGATGTGTGTCCATCCCGCCGTCGGCCCGCCGACGGCAACCAGTGTCGTCACATGTTGTCGGCATTATCATCCATATTGCCAACCTCTCCCTGGTGGACCGCCGGATGCTCGGTGGTCCTGAGCTGCAACCAGGACAGAGGTCGGCCTCTTGGAGGGTGGGATCTGAAGGAATATCGGTCGTCGGCGCCCCAGTGAGGGATTCCAAGTGACTAGAGTATCCTGCAGTCGATGTTGAGCACCCAACAAGTTGTACGCCGCACCACTTACGGATGTCCTATGTGGCGGCCGTCTTCTCGCCGTAGTGAGATCAGTGGTTCGCGGTACTTAGGGCCGGCGTACAATCCCACGGCAGGTGGCACCCTGCAGTTCCTGTAGGTGCTTCTCTGCTTAACTCCATGCAACAACTCTCCAGCACGTGATCTGGAACACAGGAGCTCTCAACAGCGCTGCTGTGTCTCGTCCATTGTCAACGCCATCTTCAACGCCATCTCCAACGCCCATCTCTTTACCCCCCAACACGCCATTTTACCCCCTTTTCGCCCCCTTCCCCCATTCCCCCCTCTTTCTGGACAAGACCTCCTCCTGCACCCAAGATCCGATGCAACCTTATCGGGTCGGAGACCCCCTGCCGTAAGGTTGGATAACTAACCCCTGCACCCGTGCAGGGCGGCATAATTGTTCTAATCGGCCCGGCTCACGCCGGTCCGATCCACGTCCTGACCCCTACCCAAGGCCAGGCCCCAAGTCCAAGCGCTTCATGCGTATGACGAGGCTCACGAGTAAGTTGGCGCCAGACGGGCCCGGACAGTCCCTTCCTACGGTCGGGGGCTTCGTCCGACGTTCGGTTGGTTGTGGACCCTCTAGTCTACATCATTAAACTGATTCTCACACACACGGACACGACATGGCACACACACTCCAGATCACAGAGCACTCCAAAGATTAGGCCATCTACTCGCCCGCAGCGAGCGCGATGTGCGACGACGCAACGTCGTCTACGACCACAGATGCACGTCAGTACATAGAGACGTCGCCCTGCGGTATCTTCGAGTTTATGTTTGTGTGTGCATGTGTGTGGGGGTGGGTGGGTGGAGTGGCCACGGCCGACGTCGCCCCGTCTGGCCACGCCCTCGTCGTCCGAGGTTGTTGTGGGCCACCAGTGGCCACAGCAACCATTGACACATTGTACTACTCTTTTACCGCGGTTGATGGACGTCGCGACGTCTGTGAGCGTCGCGGAGCGCGGCTTGTGTGATGGACAAAACTGTCCATTCTGTATCGTAAAGGCTAAAGAACAGACTCCACATAGTCAAAGTCACGAACGTCGAGCGGAGAGGCGGATCGGTCAGAGGTGGCGAGCGAGCCAAAGTCGTTGCGGTGCGGGTCGACAATCGGCGCATCGAGGTCCGAGTCGTCAAAGTCGTCGTCAAAGTCGTCGTCGTCGTCGTCGAGATCGCGCCCGCCAAACATGCCGCCGTCATCGTCGTCGCTCTCAAACGCATCATGAAGGTACGGATTGGCGGTGACTACAGAAGCCTTGGCCTGGGTCTTGGCGCCCGGTGCGCCGCGCACTACCGGCTTGCGCAGCTGGGTCTCCAGCGAGTTGAGGTACGCCAGATGCGCCATGTCGTCATCGGTCTCGTCTCCCACGTCGATAGAATCGCCCTCAAAGTCGTCTCCCAGCAGATCGCGCGCCATCTGATCACGCGCGTTCGAGTCAAGGGTTGGCAGCCGGCCTCCAAGCGGTGGAAGCCCGGACCGTCCGTGTGACGAGGCAGGCCGCCCGAGCGGTGGTGCGTCGCCGAGTCCACCGCCTCCACTTCCAAACAGCCCTCCAGATGCCACGGCGCCGCCCCGATGCGCTGGGGGCGTCATTGCTGCTGCAAGAGCGGGAACAGCAGCAGGCGTCTCCTCCTCAATCAGCTCCTCCTCGGGCACAGACTCGGTAAACGAGTCGTCGTCGCCAAACATCACAACAGACGACTGTGTGGTCGGCCTTGGACGAGAGTTCAACCCAGCACCTGCCACAGGACGTGAGCCGTACGACAAAGTGGGCCGGCCCTGTGGGAGTAGGTCGAGCACGTCGCCGCCATCGTCGTCGTCGTCGATCGACTCGACCAGCGAGGTATCGAGCATCTCCTCGACCTCCTCGGGTACAGATTCGGGAATCGACTCATCGAATGACTCAACAAAAGAGCTGTTGGAGCCATAAGTCGGCATGTATGCGGTTGCGGGCGAGGATGCCGCCTTCGGCGAGCTAGGGGCCGGGGAGGAGTGGGAGTCTGCGGCGCGCGGCGGCGACTGATCGCGAGAGTGACTCTCGGGCTGAGCAGACTGGAGCGACGCAGGCAAAGCCTTTGCGGTTCGGATGAGTGTGGCTAAGACAGGCTCTTGGCCCTGTGGGTGCGGAAGATCCAGGGCAGCCGCAAGAGCGGCTGCGCGCGGGAGCGGGTCGGGGCGGGCATCGATACCGGCTTCAGCGATGAGGACTGAAGCCGAGTACTTGAGACCAGCACTGTGGAGATAGTCTGCGACAAGGGAGAGGAGGAGGACATGGTCTTCACAGGTAGCTACCAGCGCAGCTCCAGAAGAGCCACCAGCACCGCCGTCAGCCTCGTCCAGAGCTTCATACACAGCCGCCCGTAGTTGGGCCCGGAGCGAGGCGAGGACACCCTTGGCGGCAAGCGACGTAGTCACCATCGACTTAAGCTCATCCAGCCCAGACGGGTCGTTCATCTGCTTAGTCCCTACGCCTTTGCTTTGGACCCTCCCTGTCTATCTCTTTGACGTCAGGTGTCGTCTGCTCCCCTCTCCATCCCCCTCCCCCCCTCCCCCCCTCGCCCTGCCCCACGCACCTGCTCCTCTCGGCACGTGTCGCTCGGTTCGTTCGAGAAACCGACTCTGCCTGCCACTTTGGCGCCAAATCCGCCCATGGTCACCTCCCCCCCCCCCCCCCCCCCCGGCCCTGGCACACCCGACGAGATGATTGCATGCACGTTTGAGAGCGAGTGGGGATTAATCCGGCTACAAAAGCCGTCGAAAGAATATATGGTTGATTTGCTACAGATGATGGGTAGATGATGATGATGGCGATGCCCTCGCGCGTAGAGTACATGCTGGATTGGTGGATTGGCGATGCTCTACCGACAGCCATGTCAGTGGTTGCTTGGATGCGGCGCAAGATCGAGGGGAACCGGCTTGTAGTCATCGTACATGGCCGCGAGCTCGACATCAAGCTCAGCGTTGAGCCGATGAATGACGGCGGCGACGCGTGGTGAGACTGGACCAGGCTCTTCCAACGGGAACTCGCCGCGACGGAGGGCAAGTGCCTCGCGCTCGGCATCGACGTCGGTGAGAGTGTCCTTGATGTCACTCTCGGCGATAGTAGCGGCAAGATCCATAGCAGCTTCCTGGTCAGCGGTCGAGGAGACGACCATCGGCCGCGGACGACCGTCATCGGTGGTCTCGTCTGCGGGTTCGACAGGATCGAACTCGTGCAGAGCCTTGCGCCACTCGCGGACAGCAGCGTCCCACTCGCGTCGGCCCATGGCTACTGTCTTGTCAGGCGTTTGCGGATGGTGTGGCAAACGCTGTTCCTTGGGCACTTGGGCACGGTACGCAGTGTATCCGCGAGTGTTGTAGCCAAACTCAAGGGTCCGCTGCCGCTGGGCGAGCCTCTTGGCATCGGTCTCTCTCTCCGATCCGCCTCCGCCCTTGCTCTTGCTGCTCTTTCGGCCCTTCCCACCACCACCGCCGCCACCACCACCACCAGTACCACTGGATCCTGCCTTGGCTCCCTTCCCGTGACCTCGCTGCCCAGGCCCGCCGCCTCCTTTGCCCTTGCCCTTCTTGCCACCCTTCATCGGCGATGTGGCCCCGGCCGACCCGCCACCCTTTCCGCTCTTCCTCCCGACCTGCTGCTGCTGTTGTTGTTGTTGCTGCTGCTGCTGCTGCTGCGACGACTGCTTCTTCCTCCCGCTCGTCTGTTGCCGCTGCTTCCCGCCCTGCTTGCCCGCCTTGCCCTTGTTCGAGCCCTTGCCACCGGTGTGGCCCTGGCCCTGGCCCTGGCCCTGGCCCTGGCCTTGGCCTTGGCCTCCGCGCTTACGCTTGGTCATCACCGTAATAGCCGCACGACAACGATGGACTGCGTCTGCTACGGTGGAAGAGGCGTATATGCCTCGCTTGCCCTGCCTGTCCTTGTGGTGAAGCCGCCTCCCCGTCCGAGTCGCCAAGTCGCACTCGCTTCACTGCCACCACTCACACGCGAACTTGCGCTACGCCAAGACACATGGCAGGGTCCCTCGGCTTCAATAAAAGGTGCTACGCGAGCTTGTCTTGAAGATCACGTCGCGTGGCTTCTGACAGTTGCAGGCCTGTGTACATCTGTTTCCATCGGAAGAACATCCGCGACTTGGTGTTGAGGTCGACAAGCTGGAGAAGAGCGTCGATGCGGGTCTCAAACTCGCAAGTCGCTTGCGTTACTTCGAACCAGTACTCAAACGCGTAGCGGAGCAGCCGTCGCTCTCTCACTAACACTGCTGCTCCTCGCCATGTTGTCATCGCGCGGGTGAGTCTGCGGTATCGCGCAAAGGCAACAGCCTCGGCGACTTGTGCCTCTGCGAGCGCACGCGCCTCGACATGCGCTGCCCACCCACGCAGCGCCCGACGCATCAGTGCATCGTCGCGGTGCGCGGCCGCCACAGCCGTCCAGTGCGCCACATCCGCTGCCGCTGCAGCGGCGGCAGTCGCTTCTTGCCACTTGAAAAGCGCACGGCGGGCCAGACTCTCCATCCGAGCCTGCTCAAGTGCCTCGGCGCGGGACATCAGCTCGCGGCTCTGTGCCGCATGGCTGGCAAAGCCGCGCATCGCCAACCGCAGCAGCGTGCGGACTCGGTACACGCCCGCAAGTTCAAGTCGAGCGTTGGTGCGGGCGTCAACATCGTCTCGCCACGCCCGCCATGCCGTGGCCATGGCTCGAACCTCTCGTGCCCGGCGCGCAACAATCAGCGCTTGCTTGCGAGCTCGAGCGACAGACGCAGCAGACGTCACTTTCGCCCACGCAAGCAGCACTTGCCGCACCTGGCGTGCCTTTCGCCGGGCAACAAATTTGCCAAGCTCCCGCGATAAGCACGTCCATCGATGCCAGCGGCCAAGGACGCGACGGGCGACAGCTCGGACAGCGAGCGCGCTGGCGGCGGCAGTCTGACGTCGCTCCAGCCCGATCTGCCGGGCGACGCGACGCCATGCTACCAGGCTCCGACGCGCAAAGTGGGCGTCGGCTTTCTGACGCTTTGCCGCAAGCTTGCGGCGTGCCGCGCGTCGCCGCGCCACAAAAGACTGCCACGCTCTCATAGCCCGCGGTAGAAGCCGTGCAGCAGATGCCGCCTGAGCGTGGGCCTGTGCCCGCGCCCACACTCGCGCGCGCTCGGCAGCCCGCCCGAGAACAGTACGCCAGGCCGCCAGCACTGTGGCAAGACTGCGGGTCTGGACCCGTTGCTCGAGAGCAGCAAAACGAGGCGCGCGTGCCAGCGCGTCAAAGGCAGTCCGCAGCAATCTCCGTCGCCGCCCTGCATCAGCGCGGGCCAGAAGCTCGCGGGCCCGGCTCCGTCGTGACACCCACGCTCGCCATGCCGCCAGTGTGTCTGCTCGAATAGCACGCTCCCGGGCGGCCCGCGCAAAAGCTACCAGCCGCCGGTTTCGCAGCGATCGCACTGCCCATGCCCGCCAGGTGCCGAGCGCCGTTCGAAGCCGCGAACTGCGAGCAAACGCGTCAGCGGCCTGCGCGGCTGCGCGCGCCCGTGCAGCAGTGGTCACCACATGCAGCCAGCCGGCAAACGCCCTGCCCACAAGAGCACGCTCGTGACGAATCATGATAATAAACTCAGCGCTCGCTCGGACTCGGCTTCGCACTGCCAATGCTGCCCGCCAGTGGGCAAGCACACGCAGAGCACACAAGTGTGCGGCCCGCTTGCCTGCTGCCGCAAGCGCTTCCCTCCGTCGCCGCCGTTCAGCTGTCCGGCGGAGCCACAGGAGCAACACTCGCCGGGTGACAACCGCCGTGACAGCGGCCGCAGCGTCGGCGCGAGCGGTTGCCCGTCGCCATGTTGCCCATGCCCGTCGCATCGCATACGCGCGGTGCAGCTTTCGCCAGGCAGAGCACAGACGATCGAGGAGTTGGTTGCGAGCTCGAATCCGTCGCACCGCAGCCAGGCGGTAGCGCCAGGCTTTCCAGGCCTCGACCGCCCGCGTCTCGGACTGGCGGGACCAGACCCGAGCCTCAAACGCGGCGCGCTTTTGTGCGCGCAGGCGTGCACTCCGCACAGCCACCATATGCTCGTACCAGGCGATGACAAACGGGCGAAGAAAGCCTAAATCTGCAGTTCGAAACGCACATGCTAGCTCGCGCATCCAGGATTGCCAGGTCTTGGAAACAAGCCGCACCCTCGAATGGCGTCGGGCCTGCGCCATAAGCATCACGCTGTCGTACTCACCTCCAGCGGCCGTAACATGAACTAGATGAATCGGAGCAACAAACCTCGCCAGACTGGGCGGGTGCGGAAGAGCTACAAAACCGCCGTGAGGTGATGGTGGCCCCGCCGGCGGGACGGTGAGCGAGGCGGCGAGCGCATCAATGGACTGGCTACCGAGCTGCTCCATCATCAACTCTTGCACACGACTAGGTGTCACATTGTGCGCATACTGAAGCGCTGTCCAGACTTGGGCAAATTGCCCAGACGCAGCAGCGGCGGAGGCTGCAGCCGCGAGCGCGTTGTGGACCCGCAGCGCCGATGGATGGCGGAGCGCGTCGCGTGCTGAAACAAAGGTAAAAGTGCTCTCTACGGCATCGGACTCGCGGATTTTGTCGAGGCCTGCCAGGACCGCACTTGGTGCCATGGCAGGCGAGCTGGGCGGCGGGACGAGCTGGCGGAGAGCAGCCAAGGCCGCGTCGAGCTCGTCGCCTAGACCTGAGTTCATCGGCGCAGCCTTACCCGATGCACCCATTTCCCTCTGCCACACATGCCACGCCCTAAAGAGTGCATAGTGACGTGCAAAGGCGTCTGCTGCAGCGTCTGCTGCGATGGCGGCATAATGGGTTCGAGCATGCGAGGCGTAGACGCCAGGCGATGCAGCAAGGCCGGCCGAGGCAATCGCAGCTGGATGGCTGTTGCGGGCAAGGACAGCCTCCAGCACCGCTGCTGCTGCTGCTGCAAGCGGAGAGTCAGCTGCGGCAGATCGCGATGCGGCTAGAGCATGAAGGATGGCGTGGAGCGCAGTAGGATGGACCAGGTCCGGATGTGCGGCGAGGAGGCTCAGGGCAAAGATGGACGGATCCGACTCGAAAGCGGCAGACTGGCGGGCCGATCCTAGGAGAGCAGCAAGAGTGTCGAGGACCTTGCGTGTTAAAGCTGCATCTGCTGCTGCTGCTGCTCCAGCTGCACTCCCTCGAGCCGCCTCTGCCCTGTCCACCGCCACATCCAGCGCCCGCGCCTGAGAGAGGCCGGGTCGGGGGCCAGTAGGCAGCAAAGCAGCGTGCAGTGCCAGGGAAAGGGGTTGGGTTGGGGTTGGGGTTGGGGTTGGGGGGGGGGGGGAGAGAGTGTGTGAAGAGGGGTGTGTGGCCAAAAGTGGTGTGAGTGTGGCTCTCTCCCTCTCTCCCTCTTTCCCTCTGCTGACGCCGTGTAGGTGGTGGTGGTGGGTCTGGTGGGCGTGTCGGTGTCCGCGCGGGAAACATACGTTGTTTGCCGCCCGCCCACCACTTCGCCACTCGGCCATTTCGGCACTCGGCAGTCGCTGGGAAGAGCGCGGCCATGGACGGGATGAGATGGGATGGCTGTAGGAGAATGGGAGATGGAATCTTGATGGAGTCGGCGAGTTAGCAGGTACAGTGATCGGGTGATCAGGTGATCGGGTGACCGGGTGATGGGAGAGAGTTTGTGTGTGTGTGTGTGTGTGGGGGGGGGGGGGAGGCGGCGCCCGCCGGCTCCTCCCTTGGTCGGCTGCGATGCTCTCGACGCGACAAGGGGCAGCCTAGACAGGGACGGGGGCGCGGGAGTGGGTGGTGGTGAAAGAGGGGACACACCTCGTGGTTTCAGCTAGGGATACTTGCAAGAGCGGCGGGAGGCAGACATGCTGACGGCGGTGGCAAGGAGCGTGGCTGGTGCTGGGCGGCAGAGCATGGCGGTGGCGGCGGTGGGCGAGCCGAGCCGGTGGTGGCGGGTGCGGTGGTATGCAGGGCAGAGTGATGGAAAGAGCGAGGGGGTGACCGAGGTGGTGGTGAGTCTGGAGGCGCTACAAGCAAGCTCGGGGCTGTCGGCGAGCTCTTTACCAAGGCTGGTCGCGAGAAGCGGGCGGCGGCGCGGGCGGCGCGGCTGGCCGACATCCGGGCTGAGCTTGGCACGGGATACTTTGACGAGCTCGGCGAGGTCAACTCGGTGGTGCGGGAGGCCGGCGCCGGTGCCTTTCATCCGGGCGCTGCTGGAGAGAGCGAAGAAGCGTTTCCGGCGGCGGCAGCAGTGAGCAGCATCGAGGATGCCGACGAGTTTCCGCGGGTCGAGGCGACGTCGCTCAGCTCACGGGACGTGGTGCTCGCGTCGGACATGTTTGTGGAGCCGTCGGTGGTGCTTGTGGCGTTCCGCGACTCGGCGATGGAGCACACCCGTGACTGGGGCGCAGCGCTCGCGGCGCACGGCGGGCTGAGCGCGCTGCCGCGGACACATCTGCTGTTTGTTGAGACGCGGGTACTCAAGCTGTTCAAATCGCTCTTTGTCTCGTCGCTGCGGCAGGCGACGCCGGCGTCGCAGGTTGATGCGACGCTCCTCTCATTCGACGCGGACGAGACGGTGCGCGCAGCGCTTGGAGTGGACAACCGGCTGTTCGGCTACGCACTCCTTGTCGACGCAGAGGGACGGATCCGGTGGCGCGGCAAGGGCCCTGCGACGGCCGGCAACGTGCAACGATTGGCGAGCGCGGTGAGCGGACTGTAAAGTGAAGAAGAGGAAGGTGGGACCGCAAGGCCGGTCTTGTTTTACACGGAATCGTCATAGGCGTTGTCTTTGTGGACGGCATCGAGGTCCATGGTGCCGGTCTTGAGGTACTGGAGGAGGACGCTGTCGCCAGCGTCTATGGAGCGCTGCTCCACGTCGTCGATGCCCTTGGCCTCGTTGTCGTCTTCGCCGGCGATTTCGGCGAGCGAGCTCTGGGCGAGGTCGCCGGTGAGTTTTTGCACGAGGTACAGGGCGTGGGAGAGCTGTGCGATGCCAAAGAGGATGAAGAACATGAACCAGGCGCGGCCTTCGTCCGAGACGGGGAAGATGTCACCGTAGCCGATGGTGGTGAGGGTGACAACGGAGAGGTAAAGGGTGTCGAACCAGGTGAGCTCGGCGCCGGTGCCAATCTCGGTGGTGGAGAAGACACCAGCTCCGATAAAGATGGAGATGATGAGGAGGGCGACGTAGAAGATGATGGCCATGGCGGCCGAGTGGAAGAAGCGGTACAGGTACGAGCGGTACTTGTTGAGCCGGTTCTCGAGGCGGAGGAGCTCCGGGTCGCTCGGCGGCGAGGTTGAGGCCTCGGAGACAAGCGAGAAAAAGCCCGAGACGGCGGCGAGGCCGCAGAGGCCGTACAGCATGACAAAGACTTTGGCGCCGTCCGAGTCGGGCAGAAAATCGCCATAGCCGACGGTGGTGAGAGTGACAAACGAAAAGTAGAGGCCCTCGTACCAGCGCCAGTCCTCGATGGGCGCCATGATGGTGCCGATGAAGAGGAGGGCGAGGGCGATGAACGACTGCTTGCAGAAGCGGTAGATGAACGAGTTGCCAAAGTAAGTCGACGGCTTGATGGCGGCGGGGATGCAGCCCGGCGCAGCCGGGAGCGGACCAGGGTCGGCCAGGCCGGTGGCGGCGGGCTCGCCGGTGGCGGTGGCAGTCTGGCTTGGCTCGTAGCGAGCGGCGACGAGGTTGTCCATCTCGTCCTGCTCCGACTCCCACTCCGAGTCAGACGAGTAGGTGGCGTAGTCGACGGCGGCCGACGAGGCGAGAGTCGGCGAGTTGGCGTCGGCGTCGACGTAGACCCACTGGCGGGCTCGCGACGAAGTCGTGCGGGCGGCGCCGTGGAGGAGGCGGCGGCGGCGGGTGGGAAGGACAAGGTCAGCTGGGAGAGCGGCGTCACCGGCCACAATGTCAGCGATGGCCTCTTCCTGCTCGTCGTAGCTCGACCAGTAAGTGTACTGCGAGTCGGCCGAGTCCTCGGAGGACCACGCCGACGACGACGCCGACAGCGCGTCGCGGATGGCCCACTCGAGCTCGTACTGCTCGTCGTGCGACTTGAGCGACTTAAAGTCGAGTGTGCCGTTCTCGTTCCGCGGAATCTCCGACGTGGCGCCGGCCGACACGCCACCGGCCTGGATGAGGCCGATGATGTAGCCACCGATGCCGACAGCGAGGAAGGCGTAGGGGAGGAAGAGAGCCTTGCCGGTGTCGGTCTTGGGCGAAAAGTCGCCGTAGCCTATGGTTGAGAAGACAGCAAAGGCAAAGTACATGCCGTCAAAGTAGCGCCACTTCTCCAGGCCGGCAAAGAGGCCGGCGCCGCCAAAGATGATGACGGCCAGAATGAGAAGCGCAGTCGCGAGCTCCTTGGTGTTGTTGACCGACTGCTCGAGCAAGCCCGAGTAGTCGTCCATGATGGGGAGGTCATGGCACGAGACAAGGCGGACTTCGAGGACCTGGGTTGCCGGCGTAAACTTCATCTCTAGCTGGATGGTCGGCCGCGCGTCCTTGTCCTCCACCTTCTCCAGAGGCAGGTCGTACAACGCCCACTCCTCGCCGATCTGAGTCTGCGGGTCGATGACCACCTCGCCGATGAGGTCGTCGTAGTTAAAGTTGTCCCAATCGCGGACCTGGATTACCACATCCTTGGCAAAGATCGAGTGCGGAATGGTCCACACTTCTTGGTTTTCCCACACCGGGTTGAGGTTCTTCTCAAAGTGCGGCGAGGTGAACTGCGCTCGCTCACAGCCCTTGATGCACGAGAGGCAGTTGTACTGCGAGAGGACAATGACATACGGGTCCGACGACGACTCGGGAAAGCCACCTTTTCCATCAGGTGCTGGACCTTGCGCTGCGAGTAGTCGGAGAGCATGGAGAGAACCCAACCGATGACGGCCAGTCCGATGACGCCGTAAAACATGACGGCAGTCTTACCATCGTTGGTCGACGGTGAGATGTCGCCAAAGCCGATGGTGGTGAGCGTGACGAGGGTAAAGTACAGCGCATCCAAGCCCTGTTTGCCTCAGTGTAGTTTTCAGCGAGGGTGAGTGCGCGGGGAAGGAGCGAGGAGGGGGGAAAGAGGGGAAGAGAGGGGGCGGGCAGTGGGGAGGGGAAGAGAGGGGGGAAGCGATGCGTACGTCGAGGCCTTCGACTTCAGAAAAGATGAGCATGCCCACCAGGTTGAAGACAATGACGACCACAATGGCGGAGATCAGCTTGGAGTGCTGGATGTACCACTTGGGCTTCTCCTCCTCCTCCTGGACCGAGCCAGGAGGGGTAGGCGGCTTCTCCACCCACTCTCCGTCAACAAGCTCGTAAGAGTCAGAGTACGAGTATATACCGTCACCATCCCGGTCGTGACGATGCCGGTGTCCCCGGTTGAACAGCACGCGTGACATGGTCGAGCCGAGAGCGAGAAGCTCGAGAAAAATGTGGGTGTTTCTTGCGCTGGCTGCTGCCGGGCTGGGGGGGAGGGATTGCCGGGCTTGTGGTGGGGGGAGGAGGGGGTTTAGTCTCTCGTCTGGCAATCGGTATCAGTTGAAGCGGGAGACGAGGTTGGAGATGGCGGCATTGCGGCCAGACTCGGAGGTGAGCGGCAATGAGGTGTCGACCACCGATGAGATGAGCGCGTTCCACTAGGGGGGTGGTTGGGTGGGGTGAGTGGGGGTTGGGGGCGTAGAGGGAGGCTTGATGGGGGTAAGGGAGAGATGAAGGAAGGGGGGCAGAGGGGGGGCAGAGGGGGCAGAGAGGGACATGAGTGTACCGATGACTTGAGGTGCTCCGAGGCAAGGTGACGCGGAGCCTCGGCCTGGATGAGCTCATGGGTAGCCGAGGAGGAAGGAGAGGCTGAGGCCGAGACAGAGGAGGTAGAGAGAGCCTCAAGTGGCAGCTCACCCGCAGCGACTCTGTTTGCGGTAGTAAGGTCAGTAGTGAGCGAGCTGAGAGTCAGCATCTGCTTCCGTGTGGCATCGAGGTGAGCCGACGCACCGTAGCTGCCGATAGCAAAGCCGACGACCAGGCCCGTAGCCCACGAAGCGACGGACATGAACGAGAACGAGTGGGGTGTGTTGGGCGAGGAGGGGAGGGGAGGGTTAAGAAGAGTGAGAGTGGAGTGTATGGGTGTAGGTGTGCGAGTGTGGGTGAGCATGTGTGTGTGTGTGTGTGTGTGTGTGTGTGTGTGTGGTGGTGGTGGTGGCTTGGGGAGTTCGTTCGTTCGTTCGTTCGTTCATGCGTATTCGATGCGACCGCAGTGGCAGCCGGCTGACAAATCGCCACCAGCAGGCTCCTTCCCCCGCCACACCCGGACACCCTACTTCCACCCCCCCCCCCCCCCCCTCCCCCCCTCCTCTCCCCCTCTCCCCCTCCCCCTCCCCCTCCTCCCCCTCCCCTCCCCTCCGCTCTTCCTCCACCTGCAATTTCCCAAAGCAAACTATGGCTGCGTCCTCGGCTGCACGAGAGGCTCTCGATGCCAACCTCCGGGCGGTTATCCTCGGAAGTGGCGGCAAGAAGGTACGGTGCTGGATAGAGATGATGGTCCCTCCCCTCCCTCCCTCCCTCTCTCTCTCTCTCTCTCTCTCTCTCTCTCTCTCTCTCTCCCCTCCCCCCCCCCTTGCTCACTCACACATAATCTCTCCCATACCTTTTCTTCGCCACCATGGTTAGTGGCGCATCTATCCGATGCGGTCGGCGGCTGCTAGTGGAGGCGGTGGTGTGGCAAGCGTGGGTGCTGCCGCCCAGGTCAAGGCAAATGCTGAGAATGTGATGGAGATCTGCAGGCGCGGTGATGTGTCGGCGCTGGTGATTCTGTGCAAAAAGGTCGGCGTTGACGCGCTCGTCGCGTATCGTGACGCCGCAGGTGAGAGCGCGTTGCACGCCGCGGTCGAGTCGCCGACGCCGGACATTGTCAAGGCTCTGCTGCGGATCTCGTGCGACCCGAACACGACGCAAGAGGGGACACTCAACACGCCACTGCACAAGGCGGCAATGTTGGGCAAGACCGACATGTACACAGAACTTGTTGACGCTGGCGGCGATGCCGAGCGCGTCAACTCGATGGGCCTCACCGCCGCAGGCATCATCGCCAACACGACACTGGGCAAGGGCAGCAAGGGCAGCGCGAGCGAGGCTAGCGAAGCTGCAGGCGCAACCGCGGCCTCGCCTGTCAAGCACAAGTTCCAGGCCGCGGCGCGGGCGGCACTGGCGGTGAGCCGCGGCGCCAATGCGAGCGATGCCAGCGCAGGGGCGTCAAGCTCTTCAGAGCCGAGAAGCAGCAGCACCAAGTGCGCGCGGATGCGGCTTCCGGAGCGTAGCATGCCGCAGATCCACGTTGGCGGCGACGATGTCGACGGTGGTTCCGGGTCTGACTCGGACGCGTCGGACGCCGGTGAACCGGTCATTTACTCGGTGGAGCTTGCCGACGCGGTCACCAAAAAGGTGCGCGCGTCGGTCAACATCACGGGATGGGCGCTGCTTGGTGTGGTGGCGGAGAAGATCGGGCTCGAGCCTCAGGCTGCGCCGTACTTTGCATGGTGCTTTGCCTCGCCGGACGCACTCCCGGTCTACACGTGGCTCGACATGGGCCTCCCTGTCTCGGCCAACGGGCGGGCGGACGATGCGCTGCTCCTTCGGGTCAAGTATCCGTCGGCTAACATGCGGCGGCTGGGCGAGGAGACGCCGGTGGCTATGAACCTGTTGAGGCAGCAAGTGATGCAGGACGTGCTGGCCCAAGGCGCCGGCATCCACTCGCAGTCTGTTGTCCTCATGCTGGCGGCGTACCGCATGCAGCTCAACTACGGCAACCACAACCCAAAGACGCACCAGCCGGGCTTTTTGGATACGCTCATGGACAAGTACGTGTCGGCCGACATGATGGCGGTCGGGGCGTCCGAAGTCCTCGCGCTCCAGGCACAGCTGTTCTCGATGCACCGGGGGCTAGAGGGCCTGACGGCAAGCGAGGTGCACGTCAAGCTTGATGCGCTGCTCTTCTCGCTCCCAACTTACGGCGCGCAGGTCTTCCCGTGCACGCTGGCTGGAACCGGCGACGCTGACGACATCTCAGTGGTGCTGCTTGTGGGCGCGACAGGCATGCTCTTTGGTACACCGCTCACCAACATTCACTCGGCGGCCTACCCGTCGTACAAGTACCTGCCGTTCTCACAGATCAAGCGGTGGAAGGCGATTTCGACGGCGCTCATCACACAGACGACGACCGAGTTTGCGGCCGGAGGCAAAGAGCAGGTTCTGCAGTTTGTGACGCCGTCGGCGCGAGCCATCCTCACGTTGCTTAACGACTACTACACCCTCTACTACCAGCTTGTGGACGACGTCGAGGTCTCGCTGCCGCACCCGGACGAGTCGACGATCTCGGCGACGCTGCTGCCTGCCGAGCTGTTTGGACGGCCGCGGGCCATGTTTGCGCCGGACCCGGAGCGGTCGCGGCTCGACATTCTCTGCAGGGTCTACAAGTCTGCGCTGCGGCTGCAAGTCGGGCGAGCCGACGCGGGCTCGATCCTGGCGCAGGCGTACGAGGCGCTGTACAAGCATGAGACGCTGCGGCGGCTCAAGCTGCGCAACCCGCGGCATGCAGCCGCGTTGTTTGAGGCCATCCACCGCGCACAGAGCTACGTGAGCGTTGGGTTCGGAGGCGAGCTGATGGAGAACCTAGCGCTAGCGGAGCTGGACCTGACGGGCGTGCCGTTTGCGTCGTCCGAGGCTGGCACCAAGGCGCTCAAGCTGCTTGCAGACATTGCGCCGTCGATCGAGAAGCTCATCATGCGCGGGTGTGCCATGGGCGAGTCTGCGGCGATGCGGCTGTGCCACGTGGTGCAAGCCGGATCGATGGCGCTCCGCGAGCTTGACATCTCGCTTAACGACCTCGGCCCAGCAGGAATGGACCAGATCCTGGGCTTGATGCAGAAAAAGCGGATTCGATTCCGCAAGCTCAATCTGGCGTCGACCGGTATGACCGACGCGTGCGTGCCGGTGCTGATGGAGATTGTGCGCGGTTCATCGGACATGAACGACACCGAAGAGCTGGACATTTCGTACAACAAGATCACGGACAAGGGCTTTGGCGATTTGTGTCTCGCGCTCGCGCGGAACCGGTTCCTCAGGACCTTTGCCTTTGGTGGCAACTCGGTGACCGACAAGTCGCTGGGCGTGTTTGTCAGCGAGGTTGTCGACTCGCCGTCGGTTGTCTTTACTTCGCTCTCGTTTGCGCACATCAAGATCGGGTCCAAGGCTATGGAGCCACTCATTCGGGTGGCGACCGACAAGTCACTTGCCGAGCTCGACATCACCGACTGCAAGCTGGGCAAGAAGAACGCGCTGGCGCTGCTCGAGGCCGTGACGGCGTCGCGTGGGCGGACGCTGACCTCGCTCAAGATCGGATCGAACGGGTTGGACAAGGCGGCCATCGAGTTGCTGAGCTCGGAGCTTTCGACCTCGCTCTCGACGCTGCGGTACCTGGACATTGCCGGGGCCGGCGTGGGCAAGAACCAATGGGAGGCGTTCATCGCGGTCATCGGCACGTCGCATTTGGTCTCACTCAGCCTGGTCGATACAGGACTGACGGACAAGTCGCTCGCGCTCCTCTGCGCTGCACTCTCGTCCAACACCCACCTGCGCAACCTCAACCTTGCCCGCAACGAGAAGCTGGGCAAGGGCCTCGGCTTGACCGCCATGGCTGCCCTGCTGGCAGCCAACGCGTCCAAGCTGACCAACGTCATCCTCTCGGCCTGCAAGCTCAAGGATCGCAACCTCGAGCAGCTGCTGCCTGCCATCCACACCAACATCACGCTGATGGCGCTCCAGCTCGACGGCAACCAGTTCCACGACACCGTTCTCGCTGACTTTCTGCGTGCCATTGACCTGTCGTCTAACTACAACCTCGCTCTTGTCGACATCCGCGACAATCCCGGCTCTGACTCGGCCGCAGTCTCGGAGCTCCTGCCGTTGGCGGCGCATGCCGAGTGTGTGGTGGGTCACTGATCGTGCGTGAGTTGCGATGATGTGCAAAATGAAGTGATGAGAACAGGATGAAGGAAATGGTCTTTACCGAGGCGTTAGCAAAGGTAGTCGAGCGGGTTAAAGTCACCAAGAATGTGCTGGTGAGCCGATCTGGCACCCATGTTGGCCTCATAGTCGTTGTCGCCGAGCAGGGGCGCGTTGACAGTGCTTGAGGTGTTGCCAGCAAAGATGACAGCAAACGGGGCGCGGGCCGCGGCGAAGGCGGTAGCCAACGCGGTTGGAGGCGGCCCGGCGGATGCGATCAAAGTACATCGAGACGAAAATCAGTGCATCAACGACACCAAAGGCATCAAAACGCTCGCGTTTGCGGCGGCGCTTGCTGTTGCTGCGGCATGCAGTGGTGTTTGCCGCTGCCGGGATGCTCCGGTTGCGGGTGGCAAAGGCGGCGTGGACACAGGCAGCGGCGGTGGCGAGGTCAAAGCTGTCAGCGAGCGCAGCCGAGACTTCAGCGCCATAGATCTAAGAGCCACCGTTGATGCAGATGGTGCTTTCCATTGCGTCGCGGATGCCGGAGACGGTGATGAAGCCGTTTGCATCCGAACTCTGGGCAAAGGCCTCCTTCATGCTGTTGCGAGCAATGGCACGGTTCTCCTTGTCGGTGAGCGGATAGACGCTCTTGCCAATGCGGCGAGCAGGGTTAGTGGCACCACGGACAACACTGACGTTGATGGAATGAGTGTTGGTGAACATGATCTAGTAGGTAAGCTGTTTGTTGCTGGTGGGATGACCAGGCACATTTGCGCCCGGTGCGACGTTTCGCTCGGGTTTTGTCACAACCGGCCGACCACAAAACTGCCACCAGTGTTTGCAGAATTGCGTTTCTGGCCTTTGTCAAGAGGCCCCTTGGTTGCACATTCTGGGAGGCCGTGCTTCCGGGGTATGGCTTAAAGGCGCAACCAGATCCCCGGATGGACGAGAATGGCAATAATAAAGTGTTTCAGCTCATGATGTTGGGCTGATTCGAATGTAGGAGGTCGTAGACCGTGCTGGAGGGTGGCTCGGTTGGCGGCGGGGTGCCAGCCGAGGGATCCTCCGCTCGATGAAGAGCTAGCTGGCCTTCACCCTTGAGAGCGGAGGGGGGTGGCATCACAGCCGATATTGAGGTCCTAAGGCACAGAGTGTGCGCCGTGGGGTTGGAGGCTATCACTTTGGGCTGGTGAGTGTGGGCGGCGGCCCCAATGGGCACGGGCCGATGCAAGCGTAGTGTGTCTGGACACAGGGGTGGCGCTCAACCTGTGGTAGCCGAGGCAGTGGCAACGGTACTCGACGCCACCTGGACTCGTGAGGCGGGATGCCGCTCAAGCGAGAGTTCACGAGTGACGACCAAAGTATGTGAAAGGGAGGGCTTGTGTGTGTGGGTGGGGGGGGGGGGAGGGGGGAAGGGGGGGGAAGGGGGTGAAGGGGGCAGGTAGGGGGGAGGGCAGGCAGTTTGAGCACAAACACGTAGGGACACACATGGGCATGGCCAGTGTGCACGAGGGGGGTGGGCTGGGGGGATGAGGGGGGCTGAGGGGTGTGTGTGGGAAGTCAACTTAGGTGGCAGCATGGTGTGAATGGGTGCATGTGGTGGTGTGCGGCGTGTAGAGGTGGTGCAAGCGGCGCTGCGCAAGGCGCCGGTGCGGACGGTGGTGGCGGCGTTGTGGGTGGCCAAGTGGAAGACGGCCAAGGAGGTGAACGACCGGCTGTTTGTGGCGACACCGTACGAGGTCTTCACCATCAAGGCCGGGCGGCTGAAGAACAGTGTGGGGAACAAGTACGCGCTCATTGATCTGGTGCATGTTCAGCTGTGGCCGTCGGAGGAGGGCATGACGCTTACCTTTGTGAGCCACAAGGTGCGGCGCGAGCTGGTGTACACCGGCGTGCCCGAGGATGTGGTGCACAAGGTGCTGGGCGCGTATCTGGCGGCGACGCACGCGATGCGTAGTCTTGGTAAGCGGGCAGTGGTGGTGGCGGATGACGACGACACGCCGTACCAGTGGTGGGAGGACCAGATTGCGGCCGAGGAGCTTAAGCCAGGCGGCGGGTTGGTGGAGGGGTACCTGGCAGTAGCGGCGCGCGACGAGTGGGCCGAGTTCTGCGAGCAGGCGTACGTGCGGATGGAGCGAGCGGCGGCCATGGGCGAGGCGTACGCCCGGTCCGAGGGCTCGCGCGGGCCCGGGCACGGCAAGGTAGTGCTGGACTTGACCGGCCGGCAAGGCTCGATGTGGCTGCCGGAGGCCAAGCTGGGTCCGGTGTGGGAGGTGATTTCCGGTTCGGAGCTTGTCTCACATATTCGGGCGGAGCATTCGTCACGGCCGCAACTGCTGCGCGAGCTCGCCGAGGTGATGACGACCAACGGACGGATCTCGTCACTGTTCATCAATGCGGTCGAAGTCAAGCGCGGGGCCAAGGCACTGTCGGACGCCCTGCTGGCGCGTCCGGGCCAGGCCCTGGTCGAGCTCTCGCTTCCGTGCATGGCGCTCAAGGACAAGGGCGTGCGCAAGCTCCTCCCGGGATTGCGTGTTGCGTCGGGGCTCAAGGTCCTCAACATACGCGATTGTGGCATCACGCCGCGCGGAGCTGTCACACTCTTTACCAGTGCATCGACTAGCGTGGCGATGACGAGTCTGCGGTATCTTAATCTGAGTGGCAACCGGCTCGGCAAGAAGGGCAGTCATGCGCTGGCGCAATGGCTCACATCTGGCAAGGCATGCATGCTTGAGAATCTGGTGCTCAACGACGCCGACGTGGAGATGAGCGAACTTAGCGATGCACTGCCGGCGGAAAAGGGCGCGAGCGGGCTGCGGGCGCTGTTTCTGGGCCAAGTCGAGATCCGCGACAGCATTTCGCTCTCGACTGGAACTGCGCTCCGACTCTCGAGCGTGGACAATCTCAATCTGGCCGGCTCGCGGATGTCTGCGGTGGCGCTCTCGTCGGTGGTCTCGTCGTATCTGGCGCGGCCCGAGGCCAGCGGACTCAAGCTGTATCTTGCGCGGATGGAGGTGGGAGGACTGGGAGGGTCGGAGACGCCGGCCATGGTGAGTTCGTCGCTGAGCCGGGCGTTTGCCAACTCGACGTCGCTGGTGCGGCTGGTCATGGACGATGTGCTCCTGTCGGCCGAGGCGCTGCAAGGCCTCCTCGGCGCGCTGCGGAGCGCGAGCGGGCTGCGACACTTTTCGCTCTGCCGCGTCGCGCCGCGCAAAGCCGCCCAGCGGGCTGCGGTGGCTGAGAGCCTCTACCAGGTCCTGGCGGAGCCCGGATGCTCGCTGGAGACACTCTGGCTCGTTGGGTCGAAGAAGGCGCACTTTGGCAACGCCATGGAGCGAGTGCTCGAGGGTGCGGCGCTGGTGGCGAGCCTCAAGTCGGTGTCGATTGCCGGCAACCGCGGCGGCGAGGCTGTTGCGCTTGCAGCCGCCGTATTTTTGCGGCTCTCCAGGAGCGTGCGGGCGCTCTCGATCTCGGGCACTGGCTTTGAGACGGTGGAGAGCCTACAGGCGCTCGCCGAAGCCGTGGCGGCGTCGTCGACGCTGGAGACGTTCCCCATGCCTGTGGATGACATCACAGCTGTCTTCCGCAAAGCGCCGCGCAACTCGCGCGAGCTTGTGGAGGAGCTTGTGGCCAAACTTCGAGCGTGCGAGACGGTCAAGATGCGGCCGGTCTCGATTGTGACAGGCAAAGCGATGTTTACGCCGCCGCCGCCGCCGGTCACGCCCGAGCAGCGCGCCGGAAATCCGGCGCTGATGTCAGCGGCGGCGGCAGCAGGCGCACGGCAGGCGCTGCTGTCGGGCGGTGACGCGCACTTGACCGGGACGAGCAAGTCCGAGTCTGCGGCGTTCAAGCGGCTCTCGGCGCTCATGCTGGGCTCGTTTGACCCGCTTGGCGACGCAGCTGCGTTTGCAGGCACTGGATCGGCGCTCTCGCGGCATGTGGTGGCTCCTGGCGCAGCCGGGCCGAGCTCTAGTCCGGCTGGTACGACTGACGGGCCTGACGGCAGCGAGGCGGTCGGCGAGGAAGGCTCGTACTCGTCGTATGCCAGCGACGAGGAGATGGCGAGTGGGCCGGGCGAGGCCGAGTCATAGTAAAGTGGCAGGCATATCGAGCAGGAGACCCCGATGATTGTGTTACTCTTCTTTGGTTGTGTGGTACACTACGTAGCAACTGTTCAGAGCGTGGGCAGTTACTGCTGCCACACGAGGTAGCGCTGGTCGCCGAGGTTGCGCGGCTTGACAATGTTGGCGACGAGGAAGACAACGCCGAGGAGGATGCAGAGCGAACCGACGATGATGTAGGCAAGACCGAGGAACGAGTTCTTGCCGCCCATCCACGAGGTGGTGGAGAGGACGACGGACTTTGTGCCGTCAAACTGCTTGACAGGGAAGCGCGAGTTGATGGCCATGGTGTACGTGCCCGGGTTGAGGTCCGAGTTGATGACGCGATGGAGCTTGCGAAAGTGCGGCAGGCCTGCGGTGCGCATCCAGACGACAAAGTCCGGATCGGTGAACTGGAGCTCAGAGCCGTCCGGGTTGTAGAGGCGCTTGCCAGGGGCGGATGCCGGCGGCTGCTTGAACTTGGTCTTGAGATCCGACTCCCAGGCAACGCCGTCCTTGGTCCAGTCGACGCGGGCGCCCGAGGTGGGGCGGTAAAGGGTAAACGTGTCGTTGAACCGCGACCACGCAATGAGGCCACAGGGAGGAAGAAGTTCGACGGGTCGCTCTCGTCGCCCGATGCCGAGATCCGCGGCGTGCAGTCCTCAAGCTTGGAGAACGACGTTGGCGGCTCGCCACGGAGCTGGGCGTCGTTGCGCGACTTGACGTAGCGGCGGTGGTTCTGATAGTAGTTTGTGAGCTCGTAGTAGACGTAGACAGGTGCCTTCATCTGCTTGGTCACCGTCATCGAGACGGTGCAGTTTGACACGCCGAGCGTGCCATCGGCGTTGGACGGGGAATGCACCCATCCGTGTAGTCGGCCTTGACTTCGATGACCGAGTTGGACGCCACGAGCAGAAGGACGCCGAGCGGGACAAAGATGATGCCGATGATGAAAAACGACGGAATGACGGTCTTGGGCGTGAGGATGGGCTGCCACGCCTTGAGCGTCTGCTGCTTGAATGCCGACTCTGTGCGCGTGGGGTGTAAGGGGGGGTGCGGGTTGGGAGGGGGGGGGGGGGCGGCGTGG